AGGGGGACATTGAGTCTGAGTGGACCATGTCCGTACCTCCATTATCGAGACAGCTCACCAGAGCTGTGGTTGCAAGGTTGTCGGCACCTGTCGTGGCGGCAACCCTCGAACCCGTTGGTGGACACCTTCGGTGAGGGATGCTGTCAGGCTGAAGAAGGAGTCCTATTGGGCCTTTTTGGCCTGTGGGACTCCAGAAGCAGCTGATTAATACCAGCGGGTGAAGCGGCATCTGGCTCGGGTGGTTGCTGAGGCAATAACTCTGGCATGGGATGAGTTTGGAGGGAAAACTTCCGCATGGCTTTAAGGCAATTCTGGTCCACCATCCAGCGTCTCAGGAGGGGGAAACAGTACAACACCGGCACTGTTTATAGTGGGGATGGTGTGCTGCTGACCTCAACTTGGGATGTTGTGGGAAGAATAATTCGAAGACCTCCTCAATCCCACCAACATGCCTTCTATTGAGGAAGCTGAACCTGGGGACTCTGGGTTGGGCTCTCCAATCTCTAGGGATGAGGTCGCCAAGGTGGTGATAAAGCTCTTCGGTGGCCAGACTCAGGGGGTGGATGAGATTCGCCCAGAGTTCCTTAAAGCTCTGGATGTTGTACGGTTGTGTTGGCTGACGCGACTCTGCAATATCGCATGGATAACAGGGGCAGTTCCCCTAGATTGTATGACCGGTGTCAGAGTCTGGTCCACATTGCTGGCAGTAAGTTGGACTCATTTCTGGTGAGGGTTGAACTCTGCCAGGGCTGCACTTTGTCACTGATTCTGTTAATTCGTTTCATGGAGAGAATCTCTAGGCAGCCATGGTGTTGAGGAGATCCGTTTTGGTGGCCTTAGGATTGCATCTCTGCTTTTTGCAGATGAAGAGTTTCTATTGGCTTCATCAGGTTATGATCTGCAGCTCTCACTGGAGCGGTTCGCAGCTGAGTGTGAAGCAGTCAGGATGAGGATCAGTGCCTCCTAATCAAAGGCCATGGTCTTGAGCCGGAAAAGGGTAGAGTGCCTTCTCTGGGCCAGAGGGCCAGGGGTGTCCTGCCCCAAGTGAAGGAGTTCAAGTATCTTGGGATCTAGTTCACAAATGAGGGAAGAAGGCAACGGGAAATCAATAGGAGGATTGGCACAGTGTCTGCTGTGAAGCGGGCACTGAACCGGTCTGTCATGGTGAAGAGAGAGCTGAGCCAAAAAGCGAAGCTATCGATTTACCGGTTGATCTACGTTCTTACCCTCATCTGTGGTCATGAGCTTTGGGTCATGACCGAAAGAACGAGATCACGGATACAAGCAGCCGAAATGGACACTTGTATCTGGAGGGCCTATATTTCTCAACTGGCCTGGGAACACTTTGGGATTCCCCCAGAAGAGCTGGAACAAGTGGCTGGGGAGAGGGAAATCTGGGACTTCCTTCTGAAGCTGCAACTCCCACGACCAGACCCACGATAAAGCGGAAGAAAATGGATGGACCACGATAAAGCGGAAGAAAATGGATGGATGGATGGATGGATGGATGGATGGATGGATGGATGGATGGATGGATGGATGGATGGATGGATGGATGGATGGATGGATTCTAATGTGCAGAGTCATCCAGCTGTACCCAGATGAATACAGTGCTTGATGTAAAACAGGAAGCTCTCTGTCTCTTCTACCAGAGCTCTCAAAATTTAAAATCCCCAAATGGTCAACTTAAAATAATCAAAATGGATCCAAATTCAGCAGGTGGACATGTCAAGTAGATTCTTGAAGTTTAGTGAAAAATGTACGCAAGAACTTACAAAAACTACATTTAAGGCAGGGAGCCAAACCAGAGCAAAACCATAACTCCAGGAGAAACACAAGAGGAACCAGCAAGGTGTGGCTGAACATGGGGAGTCTTTAAGCCGGAGATTTAAATTACTGAACAACGAACAGATAGCTGATTAAAAATGGGTTACAAGTGTAAGTGCCAGTAAGGTGTGATCTGATTGGCTCAAGTGAGGCAATCTGACAGTTCAACTAGCAAGTCTGCCTTATCTTAAGTATTAAACAAATGTTTCCCTGCAAATCCTTGCATGAAATCCAGAATTTTCCCCTACCAGTGTGTTTGAGTTCAGTTTTTTCCTCAATCAGAGCATATTGATAAGTTCTTATAAAACGAAAGCTGAGCAGGATTCAACAGTTTTTTTTCTTTTTTCCCTAATAACCTTTAAAATTTTGATTTAATTTGATATGATTTCCTCAGGAGCTTCTAAGGCATTTTACAGACATAGCATTGATTTATGTCAGAAGTTGGGCATGAGTCTTAACTGAGCCTGTCTGTTTGAAATATGGGAGTAGCTAATACAAACGGTGCATACCGGCATCCCCCAGGTACAGCTGCGTACAGCATCTCAGCATTCTCCAGTTGCCTCTCCAAACACGACTACATAAAGATTAGATTCAAAACATCTAAAGTCGACCTGTTCTTCCTCATGGCCAGGAATCAAGCATGTTTCACTATACTCAAGGACACTGGTCAATATTCAGTCTCTACTGTTCAGTCAATCAATACATTTGTTCAAGTGTTCAAGAGAAGTGTCTTATTTTAAAGTAAGTAGTTAAGATTTATTTCTGAAACACTTTTCACTGAAACAAAAGTCACAAAAATGTCTTAACTTCAAAACTATCAGAAAGTAAGCCTGCCCCCGTAGTTTTGAACTATGAAACAATGAGAAGGCTGGGTTTGGGATGGAAGGCCATGAACAGCAAAATGTTTGTTTAAAATCTGGCCATTCATAGTCTTGTAAGTGAGAACAAGAACTGTAATTATGACATCCACTTAGAGCCTGTATAGAGTGTACAGCAACAGCTACCAGAGCCAGTGACTGATCTGAGATAAACATAGGACAAAGAACAGCCTGTCCACCTGATGCTGTTTTAAAGATAAATACAGCTGGATGTCATCAGCATATATGTAACAGGAAATATCAGAAAATACTTGATCATTCTAGGAAGATGAAAGATATTAGAAGATAATATTCATGGGTTAGAGGACCAGAGTGAATCTGTCTTGAGGCAGAATGTTATCTCAGACAGATGAGAGGAAAACTGGTCCAAGATTTCTTCTTTTTTTCTGCCACACTTAAATTATTTCACATTATGAAACTAGTATTAGAATCAGACAAATATGAATGTAAAAGTTGTTTTTAAGATTCATTCTTAAAAACTTTAAAAAAGAGCATCCACATCAACCTGGCCCTATGTGAAATGTAATTTTCCCTAAACTTAATAACTGGTTGTCCAAGATGGCTACCACTCACACAGTTGAACCAGACTTTTGTTCTGGGTACTCCTGGATGAGTCAGCGGTGAGCTCTTGGAGTAATTTTAGTGTGGCAGCCACTTCTGGAAATGTTCTTCATTGTTCCATGTTTTATCCTTTTGTTGATAATGGCTGTCATTTGTTTGCTGCAAGTCTGAAGTCATGGGAATAACTCTATAAACCTTTCTCAACTAATAAAATTAAACCTAAAGTTACTCATCATAGTGGATTCAGATTAACTTGTTGTCTTTAGACTAGTTTGTTCCTGGCTGAAAATGATGCAGGATACAATAAACATTTATACTTTTCTAAATAATCGATGGAAAAGCCTGAGAGACATAGGAGAAATCATTCCAATGGTATATTGAATACTCATCTCCAATCTTCAAGGTTTAAAGCTTCAATTTCTTCACCCTTGTATTTAGCTCATACAATACATTCTCTATCAGTTTCAAGTTAGGACTTGGACAGACTTTGACATTAAGAAAAGTTAATGTCACTTGCTGTCAGAACAAACATTTTAGTAAAATCAAAAGATTACAAAGTTCTAAATCTGACCAGGAGCTGATGTTGTTGCTTATCTGTTGTGAATGTCTTTCCATTGGTGGACATGTTGCTTTCTGAGATCTTGCTACTCATCTCAGGTTATCAAATGGGTTTTAGGCTAAGCTAATAATTCTGAGTTTGAGAAAAACTCTGTAAAGGGGGGAGTTAATTTTTAAGACCTCATATGTCCCATTCTTGAATGTTTTTAGTTGTGTGTTTTAGTAGAAACAAAAAAATAATTAATCTTCCTTCTTCATTTTCTGAAAACCTTGTGCAGTTTGACAGCTACTGTGACAGACACGATTCTTGTCTTGCCAAGAAGACAAGAATCGTGTCTGACAAGAACCAGAAGACCTCTCAGGTTCTGGTTCTGGTTCTGCTCTGCATCCCCAGAACCAGAACCAAGAGAAGAGAAGCAGCTTTCAGCATCTATGCACCAAAAATTTGGAACAAACTTCCAGAAAACTGTAAAACAGCTGAAACCCTGACTTCCTTTAAATCTCGACTAAAAACGTAATCAATTAAAAATGTAATGATGGAACAATGTATTGTTAATTCTATGTTGCATTACTTTGTGTTTATGATGTAAAGCACTTTGAAATGCCTTGCTGCTGAAATGTGCCATACAAATAAAATTTGATTTGATTTAAAATAAATTCAAAATTAACACACACAAAAATGAAGCAACTACAGCTTTATTGTGAAGGCAACAACAGGAAGTAGCTTTGAGTCTTGCCTCTGGTTCGATTCTGAATCCAAATCTCACCCAGTCACTGCTCCTAGTCCCTCCTGGTCAGAACTGCTGCTTCATCTCATGGATTAATCTGGTGCTTCTTTTGATGAACAAACAGGTAAAAGTGTTTTTATTTTCTATAACTTTTGTTAATACCATTTCATGCTCTAATATTTGCAGTAGAACATTTTGTATTTCACTGTTGTAAAACCAAGACACTTTTATTTTTTATTTTAATTTTAATTTTATAAGAACATATAAGCAAGGATAAAACACAGAGAACAAGACAGAAGTGACTAGAATACACAGTCGCACATGGAGATGAACTATTTTCCACAAAGCAGACACAATAATTCATATAATAATCAAATAATAACAGTTGGAGAGAAACAGAATTCCCAATAACGGTATTATTGGGAATTCTGGTTGCGATAGAGGGCAAGAAGACTCCATGGAGTCATGCATCATAAAGTAACATCAGAGCAATTTAGCTGTTTCATAAAAATCAAGACCAGAAGCAAATTCTGCAAATGTGAATGTTCTGGATCGCAGCTTTGAATTCACTGTTCTAACTCAACACACACGATGGAAAAAGTGAAGTCATTCATAGCAGAGACGTGCGGTGAGAGTCATAGCAGGTGAGCCACTGACTTAATCATAATCAGATTTTAAAATATAGACCCCCTGCATGTTATTGTTGACGTAAGGAAATTTTGCGCATGCGGACAACGCTGGAGGGCAAAAAGACTATTGTACATGTGACGCACAGCCGCGCTGCTGCTGTAGAATAATTCCCTTAACTCCATCAAACTTGAACATGTAGATATTATTCATTTCGTTTTGTGCTCCACAGCAAAGAAAAACCCGCGAAAGTCCAACTCAAAACCATTTCTTTCTCTCGCTCTGTATCAGCGCAGCAACTCGTTGCCGTAGCAACTGACAACAACCCTAATAGTTTTAGGCTTTATTTTGCGATTATTAATAAGTGATTGCTGTGGTAAGAGGAGAAAACTATAAATACACTTAATGTATTTCTAGTTTTTATAGTTTTGACTTCACTGTATGGCTAGCTCGCTGTTACTGTCTCTTACTCTGCAGTTGTGGAGTCACAATGTCTGGGATCATGAGCGCCCCCTGCCATGAGGCCAGAGAACTGCCTGCCTCACCACGAATCTGTTCTCTGCTGTTTCTGATCGCTCCTCAGCACACGAAACACGTTACACACACAGTTGGATACAAAAAACACTGTAGATTATGTGCATAAGCTACATTATGAAAAATCAGTTCATATATGAAATGTTTTTGAAGCATTTTATTGGCTGTATGCAGACAGGAGGAGCATGCTCTCATACAATGGCAGCCAGTGCAGTTAGTGAGAGGTTGCGCAATGCTTGGTGAGGCTCAGCTCTCTGCTGCCTCACCGGCTTCACTTCTGAGCATTTGAATGGAAAATACGAAAATTCAGCAATTTTGAAGAAAAAAATAATTAGAATTTGTTGAGCTAAATAAAAACTTTTTGTACTTTACAGTACAAACCACAGGGTGAAAAAGCAATATACATTATTTTATCATTATATATTATTTTTCCATGATGACAGGTTCATCAGGTTCACCACACGTCACTGTTTCATAGACAGAAGCAGTGTAGGATAACTATGAGGGCGTGAAATGATATCCAGCAGTAAATCTGGAAGCACTTTGGATACTTAGGTCTCCCTCATGTGTTCATGCCAAATTACTGCAGTTTTGCTACCTGCCACAGATTCTCACTAAATACATCTCTGCATGTTTCTCTCTCTGCAGCTCACTTTACAATGAATGTGGTGGAGCTTGTGAAGATTTTTGCACTCATTCTAGTGCTGTTATGTCCAGTCAAATGCCAAAATAGAAGGAGGAAAGCTCAGAGAGTCAACCAGGTCTTCACATACAAAGCCAAACGTGAGTGTTGTGCAACTGATCTTTTAAGAGTATCTCTTTGTGAAGGCAGTGCAAGTTTATTTGAGTGCTTAAGGCTCGGAGGTTGGATAGTGTGGTCTACATGTGTTTTTATGCATCTAGAAAATGTTTGTGACCATGTCTCTTGAGGTCATTTGTGTGGAGTGTTGAGGGACTATGGAGTACTAGGTGGTTTAAAGCAATACCTGGTCCTTGATTTGATCTCAAAGCAAGAGCTGAATTCACATTGTAGTGGATGTTGTTCTCAGTGAACGCTGGATTCCGATGAGGATCCCCTCAGGTTACTCTTGGGTTATGTTCAGTAGTGGTGAAGAGGAAGCAGACAATTATCAGGACAGTCAAAAACTCACAACAACACTGGTAATAGGAATTCCATTGTGTTTGTCCTTTAATAAACACGCTCTTCAGCAACCTTGAAAAGCCTGGTTGAATGGCTGCTGTATTGTCAGACATGGAATAAGCAGAGTCCAAACAATCTGTAACGTCACTCAGAGTTAGGGAAATAAAATGTAAAGGTCAGTCTCAGACCATGAGTCCATCTGCAGCACGTTGCTCTTGACAGTGGAGTCGTGGCGCATTCAAATAACATCACCAACCATAGCTTAGGCTGTCTTAAAGAGACGTCACACAGTTATGGCTGTTATGACTTGTGTTGTTCCTGGGATAGAAGAGCATCTGGTTTGGAAGCCTCAGTTTCATGTTTGTTTTTGCACATTATGGAGTTCTTTTGGTGAATTGAGATTAGGACCTTCCGTGTGCACTGGTTTAGTCCACATCCAAGTGTGAAGTAGCCAGGTGTCCTGAGTCTAACTCTCTATTCAATAATGGAAGGAATTGAATTGCTTTATCTAGATCAGGGTTAAGCCTTCACCTCAAACAGGAGAGTTCAGCTATCTTAGCATCTCATTATAAATGTCTGTAACATAAGACTGAGATCCTACATGAAATGGCCGTCCTCTATAGAGTAGTTGGACTCAGCCTTGTAAATAAGATGAATCATTCAGAGAAGCATGAAAATGTGTTGCTTATCTGCATTCAAAGGATTCCATTAATATGGTTTGGGCATTTGATCAGGCTACTTTCTGAACAGTTTTATTGATCATTTCCTACTGGGCGAGTTCCCTGGGAAGAACCAGAAAACAGAGACAGACTGAACACCCACTGAGCACGTTGTGATTGCTGGAACGCATTGATTGGAAGTGGGAGGTCTGGTTTTAACCCTATACCCTAATGGACAGATGGAAAAATGAAGTGAAAAGCAGTGTTTATTCTTTGTTTGGAAACTCCAGTAAAAAGCTGGGTTTCAGTCCCAACTTAAAGGAGGTTTTCCCAAATTTTAGGTTTGCAGAGTTTGTTCCAACTTTGAGAGGCATCACCTTGTTTAGTTCTAGTTTTGGTAACAGAGAAGGAAAAGATCTTTGATGACCTAAAGGCTCTACATATTTCATACCTGACAAGAAACTATGGAGAGTATTGACCTAGTACTTTATGGACCATCAACAACATTTTAACATTTATTCTTGTTCTGCGACCCTTTGAGGCAATCACTGCATTCAAATGATTTCTGTGACTGAGATTTCTCCACTGATGTACTACATCATGAAGTTCACCGTTGATGTTTTTGGAGATTGTTCTGAGCTGTTTTCCTATTACCTTTCTCTTCACTTCAATTTTGGAATGCTAATCGTTGATACACCTCTGTTTAACATGTTCTTATGGTGAAATTGATTTCTATATTTTCAAGCGCTGCCATCACTTTTGCCCAGGCCTGTTTTACTAGTTTTTTTACAAAAGATTTTGTTGAACCACAATGTCTGATTTCCATTGGTTAATTTTCAGTATACTTTTATTTATTTATTTATTCAACTTAAAGTTATTTCAGTGACTATTGTAGGTTTTTCAGTCATTAACAGAGGGCCACCAGCATCTTTACATGGAAGACGCTGTAATATTAAATGGAGCATAGACATTGAACAAACACTCAAAAACACAGACTTGAGGAAACACAAACATATCTGTTTTCTTAGATTAATAATGAGAAATTATGAAATGCTTCACACGGTACCATTAGATCATTTTCCACACTTTTGCTCCATTTTGCAATGGAGCAAAAGACAGACAGAAGGTTTTTGTTGCAGAGAAAGAAAAGCATTATTTATTGGTCCAAATTGTAATGTTTGGCCCATAAATGGAATGCTTTTGTGAAGCTGGGATCTATCAGAAATGTTCTTGGAGTTTGTGTATGACAGCATTTCCATTCTCTCACCATCTCATTTGGGTGGCTATGTTTTACACAGTCTCAATCAGTGTTTTGAACTGACAGCAGAAAAAAAAAGATTTTGCAGACTTTTCCAGAGATATATAATTCTGTTTATCTACTGTGGTTATGTGCTTCACATGTTACCAGTAGGTTCCACATTGTTTGGTGTAAGATTTTTGGATCTTTTCCAAATCCTGGTTTCATCCGCCAAAGGGAATTGTTCCACAGGTTGAAGATGATTGGGTTGTAACATTGGAAGTGATGTTGCCATTTTCTTTTTTTAACCAAAACATATTATTCCTGGCAACCCTTCCATACATGTCAAAGTGCTTTAGTGGTAGTTTTGTGCTTTTGAAGTCACACTTTAATATTTAAACTCCTAACTGAGGCTTGCAGAAGCTGGGATGAAGCTCCTTAATCTCAGAGTATTTCACAGTGTGACCTTGAGTGAAACTTACTGGAATGTCCACTCCTAGATGATCAGCAGCTGTTTTAAATGTTTTCCATTTGTGTATCATTGTCATGAACCTGAAATTGTTTAGATATGGCCATTTCAGATTTATGGCCAGCAATATTAGTGCATGGTGGTAGATAAAAAAAAGTGCAGTTATTTTTGATTGTAGACATTTTTGTAAAATGATGAAACCATATAGTTCTAATAGGAGTGGTCAACTGCTCAGTAGTAGCAAAGAGTGACTCAAAGGAATTCAATCATATTTAACCAGTGGAGCTGCAGTTAAATGTTATTTTTTCAGTACTATTCAAATGTAATAAAAGTGTTTTCTCTGGATAGCCTTGGTCTGCCCGGTGGAACTCATGTTCTTGGTGGACAGTACAGAGAATGCCCAACCTGTGCTGTTTGAGCAGCAGAAGATGTTCATCCTGCACTTCAGCACCAAGCTCATGCAGCTTCACCCTGCAGGCTGGCGTCTGCGCCTGCGCCTCGCTGTCCTGCAGTACAGCAGCAAAGTATCAGTAGAGCATAACTTCAGAGACTGGCAGGACCTGGATGTCTTCCAGAGTCGGGTGGCCTCAATGACTTTCATTGGCCATGGGTCGTACTCTGCCTATGCCATCACCAATGCCACCAAGATATTCAGGGAGGAGACGCCCCCCAGTGGCCTCAAGGTGGTGGTGCTCATGACGGACGGAAGAGACCACCCACGGAGCCCCAGTGCCATCACAGCAGCTGCAGAGGCCAAACAGCACAACATCAGGGTGTTCACCATCAGGCTGTCTGGGCTGCCCAACCCAGATGTTATGGGAACACAGCTACGATCCATTGCCAGTGGCCCGCCACAGCAGCATGTGCTCAGTCTCTCTGACACCCAGCTTGATGAAAAACTCTTCAGTGAAATAGTGAGTAAATTTGCTGTTCTGAAGCACAGCAAATTTGTTCCATCACAAGTATTATGGTTTTATTAATATTTCCATTTTTTAAAGGAAAATATTTAGAGACTGATTTTTTCCTTCTTGCAGAATTCAGTTGTTACAACAGGGGTAAGTACCATTAGCTCTTAGATTATAAATACTTTTGAATCAGAGACTCTTTGCATCTTTGATTTCTATATTTACCATATTTGCAATGTGTCAGTTAAGATGGGTTTTCTGTATCTTTATTTCAGTGCCCACAGCCAAAGAACTGTAGGTGTGAGAAGGGCGAGAGGGGTCGCCCTGGCAGTCTAGTAAGTATGCTGTCGTTGACATGTATCGCACCAAGTAGGTTCGGGGCATTTCTGCATGATCTTAAGGGCTTTGAAAATTCATATATGGAGAGCCATGGCCTAGTTATGTTTTGGTATTCCATACTAAACCATATCACCCTGAGATTGTCTGCTCTGCACCTTGTACGTTGGATTGTAAGATTTTTCATTTTGATGTTTAAGCTTATAAATGACCAGACTTTTTTTTTATTTAATAGAACTTATAAACAAGCATGATTCCAGAAGAAGACACACCAGTGGCTTCTGGACAGGACTCATCTTGTGACCAGAGTGTGTTGTTGTGCTGTTGCTCTAGAACTCTGCAACTATCTCTCTCTTATTGTGAGAATGTCTAATACTTTGGTTATGGTTTTCTAGTATAGGTTGCTTGATAAATTCAGTCCTGTTATGTCTTGTTTTCCCTTTATTGGTTAACTAATCCCTGTGTTATTGTGTCGTACCTTTGATTGTACCAAGCTCTGTCGTGTTCCTTCATTGTTCCTGCGTGTTTTTGACCTCTAGTGTTGTGCTGTGTCTTTGCTGGGTCCTTAACAGTCATTATCTGAGTCTTGGACATTCAAGTTTTCTGTGCTACCTGTTCTCAACACATTGTGTCAGATCCTGCTCAAAGTTTGACATTAAAGAAGGAAGTTTTTTGACATCACCCTTGATCTGAGTGGTACTGCTATTCTAAAATACTACAAATTGTGACACTTTGAATGTTTAAGAATTTTGAAATCCTGATTTTTTCAAGGCAGCTTTTTATTCCAGCTAAGCAAAAATTGTCAGGCTGTGCTTTTCATTAATGCTGTATTTATTTTTTCTGTCTTTTGTCTGATGGATTGTAGTTCATGTTTTCTGTTCAGCACTTTGGTCACTGGATTTGTAAGATGTTCTATAAATAACATCTTCCACATTGATTGGTTGATTTATTGATTGGTGTAACAGGACCCATGAGAGATAGCATTTTGTCATAAGTTGTGGTGGAATGAGTGGTGGTGAGGCAGACCCAGATGAGATGAATAATGATGATTTAAAGATGAAATAAGTCCAACAAAAACAGTCCAACAACCAGGCAGCATAGCTAAGCGGAAAGCCAGGGCTCAAAGCCGGTAGCAACTGGAGGCAACATATGGACAAACCACACTGAATAGACGCATACAGCAAGGACCAGACGAGGAACAAAGAACACGGGCGGAGTTAAATACACTGAGGGTAATCAGGGGACGAGAAACACTTGGGAACAATCAAGGGGAGAAAGGACAACATGGAGACTCAGAAAACACAAAAACTCCAAATATACACACAGAAAAACACAGAGCCTGACAGGCTGAGTGGGTAAAGATGGTTCTGTCAGTCCAGATCAGCTGTTTGAGAAAACGTATTGGTTCAGCTATGTTCCATGCTAATACATGACACACTAATATATGTATTATATATATTGGAACCCTCAGACCAGCTGGTCAGAGGGTTCCAGAGACTGATGAGCTGCAGGGATTTTCACACGCAGCTGTTTCTCAGGTCACAGAGAAAATTTCCACAAAGAAGGTCTGGGGCCTTGTTGGTGTCAAATGAGAATAAAGATCTGGTGCAGGACGATGGATAGGCACGTTGCTCAAAAACTGCCCGCTACTTCCAAAATATGGCAAATACCATCTAACCTGTTCACTCACGCAGCAGTTGGGTTACAGTAAAAGCGGACCACACTGGGTACCACTTCTGTCAGCTGAGCACTGTTACAATTCCTACAAGCTCACCAAAAACTGGGCAATAACAGATTGAAAAATGGCATTTGGTTGATTGATTGATTGAGCCTGAAATTGAACTGCAATGTGAATAAATGACGATAAATGTGCCACGAGCTCCAAAATCCTGTTAGGTTCTATTAGGATTCTGGAGATTGAGTCTGCTGGCCTGACTGATGCTTTTAAATGCAACTAGATCTGTAGCAGCTTTACGGCCCAGAATGCAGACGACCTTCATGTTCTTTATGAAAGGGTATAGTCAGATATTATCTCATCCTCAACAGCAATTCTGGTGGCTTAATTGCAGGTGCACTTGTTTAGTACAATTCAAGTGAATAATGTTAAATAATGGAACATTATTTCCAGACACAAGTGTAGCAGGTTGTTACTGGGTTGAATTTATCAGATGCAGTGCTGAAGAGAAATGTTTGGAAAGAAAGTTCAGTATTAGAGGATAAACCATGAGCAAAGCTCCAGCTTGTGTTGGAGATAAATCACAGACAGGTCACTGATTTAAGTGTACTTTTTGGCATGTGGACATTTGACCTGCAGGTATTGAATGTTTCTTTTGTTGGCAAATTGGTCACAATTCTTCTTGTCATGCTGTTAATATTTTAATTCACCCTGCTTTGTTAGTTTCTGTTCTCAGTACTGGTACATATGCTTTTGCTACTGTGCTTTGAAATGTGTGGTGCCAAATATACTGTACATATGTAGAACAATTCAGTCCAGGTTTGATCAGCCCACATGTTTTAGTGTGAACTGAAGCTGAACATAAGTTGAGATTACTAATGAAAAGCAGTGAAATATCCCTTTACTCAAGTGTTGCATTGGAGGCATAATGTCATCTCATTCACTTATTTATGGATTTGCTAACAGAACTGAGATGGTGTTTGCTTAGCAAGCATGGTTTCTTAGGTTTTATGGTAACGGTTCGGAGGATAACAGGAATGTCGAGTATCTGTCCTCCTGGTGCAGAAGTCAGCTTAAATACATTGGCAGTGTCTGTGTTGAATCTTGTTGATGATCTTGCTGATTACCTGTTGTGGGCGGGGATTTACACAGGTGTGTGAAATCTGTTAATAAAAGGCCACAGCACTGCACTGCACTGCACTGCACTGCACAGCACTGCACAGCACTGCACTGCACTGCACAGCACTGCACAGCACTGCACAGCACTGCACAGCACTGCACAGCACTGCACAGCACTGCACAGCACTGCACAGCACTGCACAGCACTGCACAGCACTGCACAGCACTGCACAGCACTGCACAGCACTGCACAGCACTGCACAGCACTGCACAGCACTGCACAGCACTGCACAGCACTGCACAGCACTGCACAGCACTGCACAGCACTGCACAGCACTGCACAGCACTGCACAGCACTGCACAGCACTGCACAGCACTGCACAGCACTGCACAGCACTGCACAGCACTGCACAGCACTGCACAGCACTGCACAGCACTGCAGCACTGCACAGCACTGCACAGCACTGCACAGCACTGCACAGCACTGCACAGCACTGCACTCAGGCCAAATGAAGCTAAAGGCTGTGTTGTTTTTCCTCCGTCACTACCCGGCATTTCCAGCCCTTTAAAAATGGCAGCGTCAACAGTCTGATTTATTTTAAAAAATGATAAATTTAATAATGGCAGCCCACAACAGAGGCACCTGATTGCTGTCCATTGCTGTCTGCTGCTTCACAGTGTGGTTCCCACAGATTCGGTTCCCAAGTGCAGGTGTACTCTGCTTATTGTAGTGCCATGTATTCAAGGCATGCTGCAGTCCTCTCCTCCATGGTGGACTACTGCGATGCTCTCCTTGGTGGTAGGAGCATTCAGAGGGTCCAGCATATCCACATCAGTACCACCAGGATGTTGACCAGGGAACACAGATGACCAAACCACCGCCGTCCGCCACTCCATCCACTGGCTCCTGTGACACATGAGGACTCAACACAAACTCTCTCCTCACATACCAATGCTTAAATGGCAAGGGACATTCTACATTAGGGATCTCATCAAATTTCCAACAACCATGAGAAACCTTCATTCCAAAGACTCCCTGTCGGATGGGTCTAATATTACAGACTACAGTGATCCCATTGTGTTTTTTTTCCATTGCTTGTATGTCATTGGTAGACATCTTCCATTTTCAATGCTCCTATGTTGCAATAATACCAGGTCAAATGATCAGTATGTATCGCAGTCTGAGTTCTTGGCTGCATCACTGATTCTTATTCTTTCTCTTTGATTCAGGGGAAACCAGGGAAGACAGGGTCGGATGGTGCTCCCGGTCCAAAGGGATCTCAGGTGAGAGATTTGTCGTCATGTTCTGTTGTTTATCAGTTGGATCAATCGATAAAGAGTTGTTTAACTGGTTGTTTTGTTTGAATTCATGGAATTCAGGGTGAACCTGGTACTAATGGACGTCCAGGAATGGCGGGCCTTCAGGTATTTCAAAAATATTTCAATCTTCTCCTGCTACTTTCCTATGATGGCATTACTAGCGAGGAGGAACAGGTAATGTTCACTGGTCGTAATGTCAATGTTGCTGTTCTTGAATGACACATGGTAAATGAATTGATTTAGTGTTTTTTTTCTTTTCCTGTTGATCACTCAGGGCTTTTAATGAATAACACTAACAAAAAACACACACTCACACACCAATCCACAGATCAGTAGGCAACCAAATGCCTTGACCAGGAGCACGCTGACTGTAGCTTAAAGCAAAATCAACTTCAGACTGCAAGACTACCACTCTTCCAACTAAGCCACAGTTGACCCATGATGTTTCTTTTGCCTTGTTACATGATGCTCATCCAGTTGTTCCTGGACTGTTCCAAAAGTTACCATGTTTTGTGAGGTCTCAATGACCAATTACCACTTCAATGTTGTATTGGGCATTCTTCAAGAACAGAACATTCAGATGCTCTTCAGAGACTTTGGGACATTCAAAGTCATGTGCACATCAATTAAACCCTGATGATCCAGGATTTCAGGTGAAATAACATTAGCAGGATTTGCTGTTGTTAACACAAGTAGACAATTGTTTTAAGCACATTCATTCCTATTAATTTTCAAATTCTCTTCTATTTATTTATATATCAATAATTCACGACAGAAGTCATCCCAATATATTTTATAATGCAAGCAGAATCAAATCATATCCACTTTTGCAGGATCCGGTTTTGTCCATGGAGAATATTGTCTTGCTAGACAGTAATGAAGCTCTGACTGAATGAAGACGAATCGAACTGATGAAAAGCAGTGAAAACTGAAGCTACAAAGTTTGCAAAGCAGAATATCTGTGTGTCTGCCAGCTTGTCCAGCAGAACTCAGGCATTGACAGTAGCTGGGAAGAAACACCAGACCAAAATAAGGATTTGGATGACCCAACTCTTGGCCCGTAGCCATCTGGGTATCCGCCTGCTGCTGACCGGAGCTGATAGCTCTGGCATTTCACAACTCCTCCTGACTCAAGTTAAACTCTGAGCCACAAAAGGCTTGGTTCTGGTCCGCCTCCTACTCTAACATGTCCAATGTAACATATCAAATGTAATAGAGGACATCTTCTGTTGAAGCAGTGTCAGGAAAGGCAAAGTTCTTCTCATAAGGCTAGCAGAACATATTCATACCTTCAGTCATCCCTCTTTTAGGTAGCGGGTGGAAAGAACCGTGGCTTCTTTTTTGGAGGAATTGGAACTGCATTAACTTCTCAGTAGTTATGTGGTTTCTTTGGAAAGATTAGATTACAATGTACACAAATATTCCCCCAATATCAACATTTAAACACTTTCAGGTTGAATTTAGAATGTGGAAAACTTGTTAAAATGTTCTGAGCCACTATTAGCCTTTCACAAGTCTGAAAACTGGCTTATTTTCAAGCAAACTCAGTGATATGTGTCCACTACAGTTCAAGGAACTGGTAGTAACATTAATGGACATTACTTCAGGAAATCTGAAATACTGCAATGTTTAATGATAATGTGGCTTGCACAATATGGTGAAAGAATAATGTAAGCTGGTTCTTTTGGCAGGGGAGACCTGGCAGGAAAGGTGAAAAGGTATGCATTTCTAAATAACATATTTATGGAAAATTTCAACCGGAATTTCGTGATGCAGATTTCTTGATCACAAACACAAAGAGCACATTTTTGTTCATTTGTTTGCAGCTATGTCATGTTTTAATCAATGACTTCCCATCGTAAGTTCCACATGTAGACAGTCGTAACCAAAAAGCAGTCAGTGCAGCTTTGGCTTCAGTCGGTTTGACTTGACTCTGGGTTCAACAGATGTGTTCGCTCCTCCTCTGTCTGTGTTCATGTTCCAGGGGGAACGAGGTGAATTTGGAGCTTTTGGTGCAAAAGGAAGAAAAGTAGGGATTATTGTTGTATTACATCAATAAAATGATATGATGAAGGCTTGCTGAAGGGCTGGAAAAGCTGAGATATTGTTTTGTTTCTCCACAGGGTGTGGCTGGACCTGCTGGATCAGCAGGACGTAAAGGAGAGGAGGTGATGTCTAAATAATATTATTACTTCGATTAACAATCTTCACACATGGTTGCAAATTAATAAACATTGTTGCTTAAATTCAGCATCGACTCCTGGATGTTGAATTTAAGCAGAGTTTGTTGATGTACTTAATAATTAACAACCTTTGGATTTAAATGGACTTAATAAAAATAAAGCTAATACTTTCTTCAGAATTGAGTTGTATCATTGTTATCAAAACAAAGCCCAAGATCACTGTTCTATGATATGCTCAGATGTTTTCGATAGTCTTTTGTCAGCCAACAAGTTTCAGCTGAGCACAGTAAAAACACAGACTTATGATCATATCTAGATTAATAGTGACATGTACATACAGTTAAAAAGAGTATTTTTTGTTTTGTCATACTTCTCTGACATGAACTCACATTAAAGTCTTTGTTCTTGCAGCAGTTCTGAAACTGCTGCAAGAACCCCTTAAATTCTCTCAGCATCCTGTGCAGAGGCAGCACATCCATCAGCTCTTCATCATGGCTGGACAATACAACCAAAATGTATTTACATCAAATTGAAATCATTATGATTCATATAAATGATGAAGATGAAGACAGCAGCACTGGGATCAGAATGAAGCAGCTAAATTATTCACCTTTGTCAGCTGTAATAGGAACACTACATTTAATCATTTGATGTATTTAGCTGGTAGTGTGTCTTTTCTAAAACCAAAGACCAAATTGTTTATTAGCTTAAGTGCCGATACCTGCTTTATGTGGAGCCTTAACATATCCAGTCTGTGGGGATTTGGATTTTGTGTTGCTTGTAAGTTACTTTTAGCCTTCTTGTGTGTTGTATTTTCCCATTTATTGGTTAATTGATTCCACTATAGTCTTCTTGATGGTACCAACTGTGCCTCATTCTCCAATCATGTTCCATAGGTATTTCGTCTTTCATTTCCTTATTCTGAGTTGCAGGTTCCTTGTCATTTGCAGCTGACTGTCATTTGAGTTACCAGAGCTACTTGTTGTTGAACCTGTGTCCGTTCAAGATCCCACTTGAAGTATTAAAAAACCTGAGTTTCCTTGCCTGCACCAGTTGTCTGAGTAGCGGCATTCTTCTCAACTAGCGTTATCTCTAACCAGCATCATCTTCTCTGGTTTCTACATTTTCCAGTTCCAGTGAACTCCCATCTCACCTGTGACTCTCATGTAAACCAACTTTGCTAAATCTCCTTTCATAACTTCATAATGTTGCCAAACTAGGCTCCACTCTCATCCTACCAGATCAAACTGTAGCATGCCTTTGGGTTCATTAGACTGGATTGTTGTGATGCACAGCTCCTTACCATGTGTACCAACAGTCTACGGAGGCTCCAATATGTCCAAAATTCTGCAGTTAGTGTGTGAACACGTGAACACATTACTCCTGTCCTTCACTCATTTCACTGGCTTTGCATCTCTCTCCAAACTCATCATGTATGAATGGAAATACTCTGCCTCACCTCTAAGAACTTCTCCCCCTACAAAACACACCACTGCGTGCATCCAAAACCTGGCTGTGCCCCATGGGGACAGAGCTTTCCATCCCGCAGGTTGTCGTCTGTGGAATATGTTGAAAGCACCACAACCCACAGAGCGCTTTAGAAAAAAGACTAAAGACATTTCTTTAGTCCTTTTTATAGCAAAACATGTCAGTCCTGTCTGTAAACATTTTGAGATTTTGAACATTAAGCATGCAGTACAAATAAAATGTATTATTATTAAAACTCAGCATGTTAAACGTTAGAGTATAAGACATAACTTCCTGGACTCCTGCCAGTCATTGAAGCAACCATGAATTGATCTCTGTACTAAAAATATTCAAAGGTCAAATGAAACTGGGTCAGCAAAAATGTCCCCAACCAGACTGAGTAAGGGTGCTGCTATGCCATTTTTCCTTGTGTTCATGCAGACAAGGTGCTAAAGGTGCTAACGTGAAGACTTTCTCCATAAAGCATGTTTGTTCCTCAGCAAGCGGCACCTGAGCTTTCTCTGCCAGCAGGAAACAGACTCATTTGGTTGTGTGGAGTAATTGAAAGATTCCTGTCTGCCATGTGCGCTGCAGACTCTCAGTTCATCTCCTGCTCTGCACTTATGGAATGTGAGATGTGGATTAGGTCTTATCCTGTTCCCAATGTAGCCTTTCTAAAGCAGGGAATCCAAGCTTCCAATGTTTAGTTGGGGTCTTTGAGCAGACTTTGTTTGAGAGGATGAGGATTTGGACATATTATCCACTCTCTGTCTTTTTAAATGGTTGTTGCCCCTTTCAAGGTCACTGAAACAACAGGATTCTTCATCACAGTTCCACAATGTTCTGTGTTAATATAGTCTGCCTCTGGTTCCCAGGACAGTCACTTACATCTGCGGCCAAAGCTTTATTTAGGTTCTTTGGTTTGATGTTCATCAAGTATCAAGTCTAGTAGACATCTATGGCAGAGTTCTGAGAGTTTGACTTGTCTCAGTGAAAACCAGATGTAAACTTTGTTTCTGCTGGTCTGCTCTAAACGAGGGAAAGAGGGAGAGCAGAGCAGCTGACCAATAAACACCAGACCTCTGTTTTCACAAAAAGATGTGAAAAAGTGTGGATCCAAAATCCCCTCCAAAACGCATTAATACTTTCAAGGACTGACATTATTTTCATAGTGATTAAAAAAATACATTAAATAAGAAATTAAAGAAAATAAAGCTTGCCAATTGTTCAAATAAAACCTCTTCCCACTCATATGACTTTACTTTGCTTAATACAGTCAGTGATGAACATTTATCATCACTGTCAAAGTTTGTCTTAAAGCTAGATATTGGTGATTATTGGTTATGGTAAAGGAAGTGTTTTCCATTTATTAATGGGACTTTGTGATTTTCTTTGTAATCCTGGCTTTGGTCTTTCTGTGGAGTTTTCACATTGTATGTCTGATCCGTCTGCTGCTTCACTCGAGATTCCAAACTGCCCGAATTTAAAAGTGAGTCAAATAAAAAAATAGCACGATTCAAATTTGTTCAGCGATAATATAAAACACAAAATAAATAATTTATGAACTAATATTTTTGTGACTGTCTGATCCTGGAGGACAGAAATTGTTCATCTCTTGTGTGGAGTTATACCCTTCTAAATCCTCCAGGTGGCAGTAATGGTTCACTTTATAGCTTCATCTGTTACACCGGAAAGCAGCCAAGGCCAATAAAATCAGCAACATGGTAGAATGAGAACATTTTATTGGTCTAATGAAAGTTTATAGGGACAACTTGTTCAAAAGGCACCCTCAAAGCATTCTTCAAATTCAAAAAAACTTCATTAATCCCAAAGGGAAATTTAATAATACAGTGTAGAATGTCTCATGGTGCTTTAGAAATAAAGCTGACTCATGTTGCAGGTGAACTACGATAAGCTACTGAATGTGTCAGGATATTAGAAACCATTTTAAAGATGTGAAAAACAAATACTAGACAAAAAAACACCCAAACCTAACTGAACCTGATCAAATGCACAAGAAGGAAAATGGCAGTCATAGTACGCTTCTGCACTTTCTGATCACATTCACTGATTGTTTGTTATGTGTAATTATGATGGTCACTTGTGTTTGCGCCTGAAATATTAAATGAGTAAATGAATTAAATTAAGAAAAAAAGGTGACTTAATTTGCTGCAATTTGCAAAGAAAGCATTTCATCTTGCATTACCTCTTGTTTTTAAATCTTTGCTTGTTCTGTTTTCCAGGGAGACAGAGGGCCACCAGGAGACCCGGGGCTGGAGGGACCATCGGGGCCTAAAGTAGGAAAATTATTCAAAAAGTCTTGGAAACGCTGCGTTTGTTATTTTGTTCACAGGCTAAGATACGATTCAAATCTTCCTGTTTGGTGTTTGAAAAGGGCGATCCAGGAACAAGGGGGGCACCTGGACCTCCAGGAGAAAGCGGTGTTGGCTTCCCGGGTCCCAAGGTATTTCATGGATTCTTTGAATGTTTGATTCAGAAATCACTTAGTTATGAAGGCTGGGAAGACAAGGCATGCATTGAAATATCTCCTACCTATAATTAATGGTTCTTTCAGGGTGACAAGGGAAGCCAAGGAAGACCAGGTCCACTTGGTCCGATGGGTTCTGGTGAGCCGGGAAGTCAGGTCAGTTGGCAAAAATAAACCAAACTCTGACAACAGCTAAAGAGACCATTACTTCTCTGCAATGTTCGTATTTGTTCTCAGTGTTATACTGTTAACACATGACTGTTCTGTGAAAGGTTATTTGGTACAGCCAGTTTCCTTTGTTGTCACAGTTATCGTATAAGACTTCAAATTTTTAAACCACTTTTAATATTAGCCACATATAACCTGAGGAAAAAGCAAATTCTATTTTCTGATCATCCTTCTCCCTAACGGGTCGGAGGTGCTGTTGCCTCTCCAGCTGCGTTCTGGGTGAGAGGCGGGGTCACCTGGACAGGTCGCCAGTCTGTCGCAGGGCAACACAGAAAGACAAACAGGACAAACAACCATGCACGCACACACACACACACACACACACACCTAAGGAGAATTTGGGAAGGCCAATTAACCTGACAGTCATGTTTTTGGACTGTGGGAGGAAGCCGGAGAACCCGGAGAGAACCCACACACCCACATGGAGAACATGCAGACTCCGTGCAGAAAGACCCCGGGCCGGGAATCGAACCCAGGACCTTCTTGCTGCAAGGCAACAGAGCAACCCACTGCGCTACTGTGCAGCCAAAATTCTATTTTCAAATTCTAATTTTGTTTGCTACAAGAAAAAAGCATCTTGAAAATGCTGTTGACCCTCAAACTGTCTGAATGTGTGAGACACATTCAGACAGTTTGAGACATTCAGACCCTAACCCTAACCCTTCCCTCCAGTGTTGGTGGAAGCTGCCGCTGAGTCTGCAGCACCATGTGAAGGAGCTCTGTTCCATTATTCTTTGCAGAACTGTTTTAATTCAGACTTGTCTGAGGGTTTCTTGACCTTCAGTGTGGATGTTGATCAGGTTGGGATATTGTTGGGATATTCAGAGATACATTTTGGATCATTGTTCCGCTGCAGTCTGCTTGAGTCAGCTCTCCAGGAAAACAGCACCAGATTGCCACACCATCATCAGTCCACAGAATAGTTCCCCAAAGTCTTTGGGATCATCAACGCATTTTTTGGTCAATGTGAGACAGGCATTCATGTTCTCTGTCAGCAGCAGTTCTGGCCTTGGAACTCTCTCATAGTCCCATTTTTACCCATTTCTTTTGTAACAGCTGAATCATGACCTCTGACCTTAGCTGAGACATTGAAGCCTGCAGAGGTTTAGAAACTATAACGATAAAAACTGAAATTGAGGGTTGAATATTGTCCCATTAAATTAAATTTGTACACAATCTGGATTTGATTAAGTCACAGAACTAAACTCATTCAACCCTTCTCACCCAAAACCAATCAGAGCTGATCCGCTCCACCACTGACCAATCTACTGACTGTTTGAAAAAAGATCTTCAGACATTTGTTTTAACAAAATGTTTGGTTCACTTTCTGAGATATTTGTTTTCATCTAATTTATTTCTTCATTCATTTAATTATTTGTATCCGTTGCTTGCTTTTGAAGCCCTTTGAGAACTAAAGATATAAAGGACATCATTAATAAAACCTATAATTATTATTATTATTATTCAAATAAACTTTTTTTGCATCTTAATTGACTGAACACACATATCGGTACACACTTGAGTTTTTTCTGCTGAGGGTGCTATTTCTTGGAGTTTTACTACTCTGATGAAACATTCATGTTAACTAAGCTTGGCTTGGTGACCGGTTACAAACTGTGTGTAACAGTAAACTTCCACAGGAGAATAATGTCTGGTTTGGTTTCTGTGGTTCTACTGTTCAGGGTCCGACGGGGCCTACGGGAATACAAGGGCCTCGTGGTTTCCCTGGTGGCGGTTCAGTAGGACCAAAGGCAAGTTCTCTGGAATTTGTTGAGTCAACCTGACATTTAACAAACTACACAAGTGTCTGATGCAACTCACAGTTTTTCTGTGTGTTACAGGGTGACAGAGGGTATGAAGGCCCCAAAGGCAGCCTGGGACCCCCTGGACATGGGCACAAAGGTGATAAGGTATAATTAGCTGTGGCTGAACTCGCCACTCAGGTTGTATAAAATTGAAAAGCGCCACAGTTTACCATTCTGACTGACAGGGAAATGCAGGTGCACCTGGGGTTCCTGGTTTGACCGGGGCGCCAGGTGCAGGCGTCCAAGGAGAAAAGGCAAGGCCAACAAAAACTGTACATTCTTCACCTCTGTACATTTGGATTTGAACATTTTAAGTGTAAACATTATTCACTGGTATTTAGGGGGAACAAGGACCCATTGGCCCCTCTGGTCCTAGAGGACCTCCAGGACTGGCAACAGCTGGGTCAAAGGTCAGTGTCAGAATTTTATCTAAAGGTTTTACAATAGTCATCATAACCATAACGTCTGTTGTCACACCTTTCTGGCTGTCTGCATAAATATGTAAGTCAACTTTGTTCAAACAGCTCCTCTAAAATGACAGAGCTTCACAGACAAACAAGTTAAGGCAACGAGCAAAAACAACTAACGCTCCCGCCGAGCGTCGAGTTCAATTAACCAAACAAACTGGATGATTTATTGAGTTTTCTGCTCTAGACTAAGAAAATGAGATTCTGGTGACCTCTGTATTTGATCTGTGCACATTTACTAGACACCTTAATGCCTGCAGAACACACCTTGTTGACAATAAGCTGCCAAAGAGCAGCCAGGTTATTACTTTATGGACATCATAAACTACCTGAGGGCTTCAAGATGACGCGGCAATTCAGTTCAGTTTATTTCAATTGTCTAAAACAAACCTCAAGGAATTTTACCAGAGTAACTGGTCTTTTGCAAACTTACTTATTCCTTTATTTCAGCATTTTGCCCCCTTGCAACCACAAATTTTAATGTATTCTGACGGAATTTTATCTAACAGTTAGACCTTTGCATGTTTTTCTTAGCAGCAGCTGCTAAGAAAAAGGGACAATCCTGGATGAAAACCTGCTATGCTGAAAAAGACAACGACCCTGAACATGCAGAATAGTTTAGATTAACTCAAGTTCATGCACGAGAATGGTTCAGTCAAAGTCCAGACCTAGATCTAAATAAATAAATGTTTCCAGGTATTGAAACAGTTTCTCTGAAAAGAAAACCGGGCAAACGTTTCTTTAAAGCAAAATTAAATCTCATCTTTGATGTGAATCTGTTAAAAGCTTTTAACAAAAGCTGATTTTATGCAGCTTATCATTTTGAATATGATCTCCAGTTTCTATGTTGCAACTGAAAGATGAAACTGCCAACAAGCAACAAAAATGTTGCATTCTTCTTTTTTGCTTCTTTCATGTTTTAAAACCAGAATATAAATAATACATTTATGCTCATTATATCTGTCAATTGCTGGTATTCCAATTTCTTTTCTTTTCCAGGGTGACCAAGGTTTTCCTGGAGAGCCAGGTCATCAAGGAGAAAGAGGCACAGGTGAAACAGGGCCCAAGGTAAAAGAGCCAGAGCTTGTTTAAATACCAGTTGATGGGAACAGACTCTTCAGATGGACTAATGATCTCCAGGGTCAGCCGGGACCTGATGGGGCCCCTGGGATACCCGGCATTCCTGGTGAAGATGGAACCGTAGGGCCTAAGGTAATTCTGTTAAGTTAACATTCAGACTGGATGATGCTCATTTTCCAATGTTTTTTGTACAGGTAAATTTCCCTTTTTAATGATTATTATGAATGTTTCTTAATGAAGAACATGGAAATGGATCTTCTCAAAACACTAAACTGGACAGACAGATCAGATTCATATGCAGCAATAATCATTCAGATCAGTCCAAAAAAAAGGTCCATTTCATAAGTTTTAAATCTAGTTATTGTATAAGGTTAGCTGGTGGCATTGAGTATTTTGAGACATAAAGGAGTAAGAAGATGAAACGCTGGTTGTGTCAATATATAATATATAATTATATAATTCAATATATAATCATAGTGGTGCCAAAATAACATGAGACAAAATTAATCAAACAAAAATGAATATTTTGTTTAATTTATAGTGATTCAACGCCCACTGCAATTGGCAATGTGCCCAGATGAAATGACACAGCAATACGTAAAATAGTTCAATAACAGCGATATTACAATGTTTATCTACAGTCTAGACTCATTTTCAAATATTTGTCAAGCCCCTGATTAGAATTCTTTATAAGAGCAGCCATGGGAAATCTAGATTATTATTAGTAGTAGTAGTAGACTTTAGACTCCTTTATTGTCCATTGAACTTACATAAAATGGAAATTTAGTATAATACTAATACTGACTTATTCTACAGTAGTACCATTTTTTCATTAATTTCCCCATTTTACCATATCCACCTCCTAATGGCACCTGTCATACCATACCATTCCTGTCTCAGTTGAAGAAAGAATCCCCACAGCATGGCGCTGCCACCACCATGTTTCACAATTGGGATTTTTTTGTCAGTTGTTTTACAGTCCAAATACTTTGACCAGTGATGTTACACTGTTAGTAGGTCTCCAGTTGGTTCCTCCTCTCTCTGGGAGATGTCCAGTACTGGGGATGAACCAAACCCTGCTTTAAGCTTCTCCACATCTTCCTCCTTGACTGTCTGCGTGATTTCTTAGTCCTCAGTTTCTCTAATATTCCCTAAAGAATCTCTAAAGCCAAAAACACAATAGCTGATCAAATTACTTCATGTTGGACTCACCATTAGCATAAGAGTGTTGGTGCCTGAACACAGTTTTCAGATTGTGAACACAACACAGTCAGTAAATATATGAGCACTTTATTTTTAACCTCTTGCTTCAATGTTGTTTCAGACAGATATTCTATGTCCAAATCCTGATGGGGAATTATTTTCATAAACTAATATAAACCTTTTTGTGAGAACAGAAAAGGAGTGCTTACGGTTTTCATTTTGCTGCAGCTGCAGCTGCTGCAGCTGCTGCAGCCTCACAACAACAAAAAACAGCAGTTAGTGTTTCAGTCAGCTGTAAAATTGCAGGGAGGGAACGGATGCGTGGGTTTTCCCAACCGCCTCACACCAAGGAAGTGGTGCTGTCAGGTTAGGGTTAATATGAAGTTTTGGGCAAAAACTTCATCATGTGACCAAATTTAGAACATTCAAGTTCTAAATTTGCGAGAAAGTGTATTTCTCTTGAAAAACACACAGCAGTAGTTAAAACACAGTCCAAACCCCAAATGAATCTTAATCTTGCTGAATGACATGAATCTGTTACTGTCAGGGTTGAAATGAAGTTTGACATGAAACTCACGTCACAATCAATAATTACTGTCAGGATAAGACAAATAACAGCAAAATAGAAATAGAACTCAGCTGTTGTTCACCTGGTTTTAACACAACAGTTTTAGTGTTTTAGAGGAAACCTTGTCATTTCCAGACTGGTCAGCTCTCAACCTAACTTCATTTGTGTCACATCTGAATATCTAGAATATATTTTTTATTCACTAAAAAAACACAGCAAATAAAACAGCAACAATTTGAATGCTTTACTTTTTTCATAATATTCTATAGCTTTATGTATTATTTGTTTCTTAATGACACAAGGGAGAGACAGGTTTGCCAGGACCCCAAGGCCCAGAGGGAGCACCAGGAAGAGGCACGTCTGGAGAAAAGGTAACATTCTGATCATCAGCTGTTGAGCTGCAGCTCAAGCTTTAAGTAAGGCAGCAATGGAGGGTCAGAAAGTAAAGTTTGTCTATGAAAAGACAGTTTTCTTTCATGTTCTCTTCTTGTTTTTGTTTCTTTCTAATAAGGTAACATTTCCAGTTGATTGATGTTTCATACGAGACACACAGACGCACGCAAACACACACACATCAATGGTCTCTGATAAGATGTTTAATGTCTCAGGGTGATAGAGGTGACCGAGGTTCCAGGGGACTGTCAGGCTCTCCTGGCCCGGTTGGACCTGCTGGAGCTAAGGTATGAAGAACAGTACCAATTATTATTATTCTTATTACAGAACCAATCTGTATTCAGCTCCACAGTATCAGTGATATTATTACCAAAAACGTTCAGTAGATATCGGTTTTGTTAAGGTGTATCAATGTTTGTAAATGTTTTGGTTTCAAAACCACAAAAATGATTTACATTTAGAATGTTTGTTCATTTATCTACTGAGATGTGACAGAATAAAAAATGCTTCCTGTTCCTGGTTGAAGTATGAAGCAGTGGTGCTACTATCCCTCCCCCACGTTGCATTGCCCTGTTGGTCTGCTGGCTGAAGGAAAGTTACTCACAATAATTCTTCACTCCTAATTCTCTGCAGTTGACGCTGGTGCATAAGTGTTGAGGGGAACCAGCAGGTTTTCCAACTGTAGGCTGCAGTTACTCAGAAAACCAGAGTAAATTCATCTGGGCTTGGTGCTCATCCTGTCATCATCCTTTGGACTCCAAAGTTCTCTTCTTTATCTGAAAGTTTTTAATTCATCAGCTCCATTCTTGCAGTCTTAGTTATAATGTGTTCATTTATTTTTCTTTATAGTTATTTTAGTAACCTTAGTTTCTCTTGTATGTGCCTTTCAGGTGAGTTATGTTCTGTTTATTGTGTTTTAGTTTTCTTTCTTTGTAGAGTTCCCACTTCAATCATCTGTTTTCCATTTATTCACTTGCTTCTATGTATTTTTTATTTTCCAGCTCCTCCTGTTTCTCAGTGACTTTCTCACCTTGTGGATTGTTATTTTCTGGCACTAGGAGTCTTTTGTTCTTTTCTGTTTAAGGAATGTTTAGTGCTCTGGTTTCTGTTCTTCCTCACCTTGTCAAGATTTCCTTAGTTTAACTGACTTTTGTTACGTTTCCCCACAACTTCAGCCTTTTTACAACCCACCACCTGCTTGTTCATTAATTGCTGTTTGGACTGGTGAGACCAAAGCGGATCGTTTTAGATGGTGTCCCACCAGTTACATTTGTACAAAAACTAAAAGAAATGAGGAAAAGTGACATAATGGTGATAGTGGGAAGCTCTGAAGCACCTTCTTCTTGTCCAGACTTGAAGGATTACCAAAGTAGCTGGAACCATGAACTTTGTCATTCACCTGAAGTTGAAGCACACTTGTGTTTATGTTTATGTGGTCGACATTTGATCCCAAACAGCAACTAATGTAAATGTAGCAATGCAGTTATTATCAAAGTTAATATAAACTGGTTGGAAGTGGAGTCAGTGGTAATAAGAAACAAAGTGATGAAGGAAGTGGCACTAGGAGTCACTCAGAAAACTGAGTCAGCCAGTGCAGCAGAAGAGCTAAATGTTCTCTGAAGAGCCAAGATTCTTCACAGGAGCCAATTTGAGATTTCCTTTAACACGAGCCCTAACGTTTGATGGCTATGAACAGCAGTGGTGTTTATTTCATATTCATTCATTTATTGATAGAGATGGTCACATTTTTTCTTTTTTTCACATGGTTTAAATGGTTGTGCTTGAATGCTTTTAACTAAAGCCTGTCTGTTTGATGGCTCAGGGAGAGCCTGGCAGCTCAGGAATGATGGGCCTACCTGGACCTCCTGGACGGAGCTACCCAGGAACAAAGGTAGAAGAAAACCAGACACATATAGATAGACGTATGTAGTGGAATTGAAGGATTCACTCCTTAAACTATTAACTTTAAGGAGTGAATCTGAGCAAAAGTGGATGAATTCCACCACCGGCTGTCTGCCTGTTTTAGAGCATTTAGCATTTAGAGCTGATAGCGCTAAATGTGATCCTGCAAAGATTACTGAGGACAAATACAAACATTTCACAATCTTAATTGCAATGGTATAGATGAGTTCTGGCCATTAATGTTGATTGTTGGAACAATACATCTTTGGCATTAAATTCTTTTATACATTAAAGCCTGTTTATTTCCCTTGTAGTGGTGACACATTTGAAAGGAAAATGCAATTGTAGATTAAGGAGCAGAATTAATTGGATTTACTGAGATGGTAAGCAAAAAATCCTCTCTAACCCTAACCCTAGCTCCAACATCCATCCACAGCATTTTGCACTCAGAATCGTTGATCACATGTCAGAATACTCTAGAACAGGGGTCCCCAAAGTCAGTCCTCAAGGGCCAGCATCCTGCATGTTTTAGTTCTCTCCTTGGTGGTAGGGACAACCTTTTCAGAATGTCAATGTTCTTTTTAGGCCTCTGCCGAGCCATCATTTGATCCAGGTGCGTTAAATCAGGGAGAGAACTAAAACATGCAGGATGCCGGCCCTCCAGGACCGACTTTGGGGACCCCTGCTCTAGAGCAGTGTCTCCAGACCCTTGTTCTTCAGGCTCACTGCCCTGCATGTTTTAGACTGTTCCCTTCTTTACTACGTGCATGATTCAGGTAATTACAGTTCAGCAAACATCTGAATCTGGGCAGAAGCGAGAAAACACCTAAAAGATGCAGGGTAGTGTGGCATCCTCACATTCAGGCCTCCAGAGCTAGTACCCTGCAGCTTTTCAATATGTCCCTGGTTCAACACACCTCAAATGGCTGCATTACCTCATCAGTGCAGTCAGGCCCTCCAGAGTTCTGCTAATGACCTGATTATTTGACTCAGGTGTGTTGAAGCAGAGATGCCCACTCTACTCATGGGTTCTAGGAAACTTTCTGGGCACCAGAAAAAAGTCATAAGTAAAAACCTTATTTATTTCTCTACATGATTTCAAACCAATGTGTAGCATATTTCCTATTTCACCAAACTATGACAGTATAGAAATGCTTTTTTTAGTTCAATATAAGATTCACATTAGTTATTGTTTTACACTTCTAATGCTTGTCAAAAGAAACTATTAACTTTGTTCCCTCTGATGTAAGTTTAATGTTATGCAAAACAGGAAGGTCACTGATACATTGTGAACTTATCTCAACCATCACTGACTTAACAAGAGGAGTGTTAGGATTTCTTTTTTTCAGTGTTGAAAAAAAATAATTTGGCTCCAAATGATATGAGTATGAATTTTTAGAGGTGAAAGGTCATATAATCATAACACAGAACCAGTGATAGTCTCATTTACTTCAAATGTCTAACACTCTGATCAAATTGTTGATTTTTTAAAATATAAATCGATATACAGGTCTTTCTCAAAATATTAGCATATTATGATAAAGTTCATTATTTTCCATAATGTAATAATGATAAAAATGTAACCTTCATATATTTTAGACTCATTTCACAGTAACTGAAATATTTCAGGTCCTTTATTGTCTTAATACAGATGATTGTGGCAAACAGCTCATGAAAAGCCAAAATTCCTATCTAAAAAAAATGAGCATATTTCATCCTACCAATAAAAGAAAAGTGTTTTTAATACAAAAAACACCAACCTTCAAATAATTATGTACAGTTATGCACTGAATACTTGGTAGGGAATCCTTTTGCAGAAATGACTGCTTCAGTGCGGCGTGGCATGGAGGCTATCAGCCTGTGGCCCTGCTGAGGTGTTATAGAGGTCGAGGATGCTTCAATAGCAGCCTTTAGCTCATCCAGAGTGTTGGGTCTTATGTCTCTCAACTTTCTCTTCCCAATATCCCACAGATTCTCTATGGGGTCAGGTCAGGAGAGTCGGCAGGCCAATAGAGCACAGTGATGGTCAGTAAACCATCTGCCAGTGGTTGTGGCACTGTGAGCAGGTGCCAGGTCGTGCTGAAAAATGAAATCTTCATCTCCATAAAGCTTTTCAGCAGATGGAAGCATGAAGTGCTCCAAAATCTCCTGATAGCTTAGCTGCATTGACCCTGCCCTTGATAAAACACAGTGGACCAACACCAGCAGCTGACATGGCATCCCAGACGATCACTGACTGTGGGTACTTGACACTGGACGTCTGGCATTTTGGAAATTCCTTCTCCTCAGTCTTCCTCCAGACTCTGGCACCTTGATTTCCAAATGACATGCAAAATTTGCTTTCGTCCGGAAACAGTACGTTGGACCACTGAGCAACAGTCCAGTGCTGCAGGACTGTTGCTTCTCTGTAGCCCAGGTCAGGCGCTTCTGCCGCTGTTTTTGGTTCAAAAGTGGCTTGACCTGGGGAATCCGGCACTTGTAGCCCATTTCCTGCATGCGCCTGTGCACGGTGGCTCTGGAAGTTTCTACTCCAGACTCAGTCCACTGCTTCCGCAGGTCCCCCACGGTCTGGAATTGGCCCTTCTCCACAATCTTCCTCAGGGTCAGCTCTTCTCGTTGTGTTGCGTTTTCTGCCACACTATTTCCTTCCCACTGAGGTGCCTTGATACAGCACTCTGGGATCAGCCTATTCGTTCAGAAATTTCTTTCTGTGTCTTACCCTCTTGCTTGAGGGTGTCAATGATGGCCTTCTGGCCAGCAGTCAGGTCAGAAGTCCTACTCATGATTGGAGTTTTGAATGATGAACCAGGCTGGGAGTTTTAAAGGCCCCAGGAATCTTTTGAAGGTGTTTAGAGTTCATTTGTTGATTCAGATGATCAGGTTCATAGCTCGTTTAGAGACCCTTTTCATGATATGCTAATTTTGTGAGATAGGAATTTTGGCTTTTCATGAGCTGTTTGCCACAATCATCTGTATTAAGACAATAAAGGACCTGAAATATTTCAGTTAGTGTGAAATGAGTCTAAAATATATGAATGTTACATTTTTACCATTATGACATTATGGAAAATAATGAACTTTATCATAATATGCTAATATTTTGAGAAGGACCTGTAAATATAAATAGAAATATTTTAAAGATTTGCCAACTTTCCCAGTCATAACACTGATATGGTAATTTCTGCATTTATATAGAATTATATTGGTGGTTTTTGTACATGTGTTTTTTTCTGTCATGAATCTTTTTGGCTTTGTTGTTCCTGCAGGGAGAGCCAGGCCCTGTGGGACCATCAGGACCTATTGGAGAGCCTGGAGTGGGAATAATTGGACCCAAAGTAATATATTCACAGATACTAGAGATTATTTACCCATGCAAAACAAAAAAAAAAACTTAAGTGTGATGTAACTGAATTTATCCATCATGCATTTGTAGTTTATTCAGTATAAAAGAGGTCCAAAACTTTCAAAATCCAGTTCTGTGGAGCATTTATTCACCAGTGGCAGGCAAACAACGAGGTGCCTGTTCACAGGGGGTCTTTTGCCTGTCCTGCTCTGGTTCTGCCTGGCAAACAGTTTGATTTCCTCTCCTGCTCATCCACTGACTGACTGGCTAACTGGTAAAAAAAAAACAAAAACAAAAAAACAGATGATCATCCTGTATGTACAGAGCTGCCTAAAGCCTGCATATTTATACTTGAATTAGCCATGTCCCAAACAAGATTATTTTCTTGGATTTTCCTCAGGCACCTCTACAGTATATGTCAACATCAGGGCAAAATACTGTAAATATCAAACTTGACTTAAAAGACATTAAGCTTCACAGTTTGACGCCTTGAAATTGGCCTCTGTCTCTTTAAGAAGCTCCTGCTCTTTCCAGCACTCCCCCATCAACACATTATCACAACAACACCTTCCCATTCTGCCTTTTACAAATGTTCTTATGAGCGTTGGACTGAGCAGTGGTTGGTATGATGAGCTCAACTGAATTGCAGAGTTAGTCTTGGAGTCGGAGGTTTGATCCACGCTCCATCCGTCTCAGACGTTGACTTTGGGTGAGGCCTGCTGGTGATGGTCAGAGGACCACCAGCAGACAAGGCCCTGATGACCATCCGTGTGTGAATGTGTGTGTGTGAAGCACTTTGGAGTCCTCTGGACTTGAAGAAGTGCTTTACAAGTACAGGCCATTTGCATTCTTATCTTTCATCTGCAGTAGACCTGTTGATTCATGTTGGTATTCTGACTGCTTCCGACTCCATCACCAGGGAAACAAAGGTAGTGTTGGACCTGATGGGCCAGCAGGGCCAAAGGAAGACTCTGTGGCTGGACCTCAGGTAAAAGAAGGACAGTGGGCTGTATTAAAGTCACATTTTGCTTAGGACCTACAGTGTCAGAGGTTCCTGTCTAAACAACTTTGACTCCGTCTCCAGGGTTTGCCGGGTTTGACTGGACTACGTGGAGAAATGGGTCCTGAAGGAAAAGGGTTACCGGGAGCAATGGTGAGCTGGGTTTTATAAATTCATAAACTACAATCAAGTTTGGAAAGTATTTTTACAAACTTCTATCCTGGAGAGTTGAGCTGTCTGTGAGGTGGATGTGATCAAATTTTGTTGTTGTGTTTACTGTTTTTGATAGGGTGACAGAGGCTTACCGGGAGTACCAGGACCCTCAGGACCTCCTGGAACTGGACTTCCTGGGCCAAAGGTCAGAGTGGGAATTAGAAAAATATGTGTCCCTTTGAAGTGTTTCATTTGATTTTTAAAATTCTCGAAATCTATTGAATGGTTTCCTTAATGTCTTTGGTTTACAGGGTTCTACAGGACAGCCTGGCCCACCTGGCATGCATGGGCCTCCAGGAGAAGGACTACCTGGACCAAAGGTATGAAGGAAACATCAATGGGGTCTGAATAAGCTTCTGTGTCTCATGTTGTTATGAGAAAAGGTCAGAACTTTGGACCCAATCAGGGTGGTGAATTCTGACATTTCAAGAGAATCATTTTTCAGTTTGGCCCATTGACCTTCAGTCTTCCATGTGATCTGATGCGTTGGACAGTCTGACCAATCCATCCATCTTTATCTCCAGGGAGAGTCTGGGTTTCAAGGTCCAATGGGACCAAGAGGGCTTCCAGGAGTGGATCTCTCAGGACAGAAGGTACAGTAACTCTGAGGCTGAGGCTGGGAATAATTTCATACCTGACTTCTACTGCATTCACTTACCAGTGCTCCAAAATGCTAAGAAAGGCTTTAATGCTACAGGGTAGTCAAGGATCTCCTGGACATATGGGAAAAAAGGGAGACACAGGGGACCTAGGACCACCTGGCTCTCCCGGAAAACTGGTAACATGACAGGTTCAGTTTGTTTGAAGAGACAGTTTATTAATCACTATTCAATCTATGATATCAGACTGTTTTCTTCACTTATTCATATTATACCAACCTAAAATTTCTGATTGTTATGTATTGGTGTTTTCCCACTGAATTCATAACTTTGGGTTTTTTTGATTGCCAATGTATATCCCAGTCATGATATTGTACATAACCATATTCTGATCCTTTAGGGGAGACCTGGAGAAAAAGGAGAGCCAGGACTTGCAGTAAGTACCAGACTGGGACAAACGGCTTAATCATGGACTTCTGGGTTTCTTACATTTTTTTGTTTCCCACCCACAGAGAGATGAAGTCATCCAGATCATAAAGGAAATATTTGGTAAAACTCTGAAGGGGTGTATGTTTAAATAACTATTGTTGTGTTAGCAGGAAATATTCAAGTAGTTAAAACTGATCTATAATACAATCTGTATAGTGAAAGGAAAGATAAAATCATGACTTGATGTTTTTTGTATAAGTCAGAGCATAGCGATACAAACTGCTGATGTCTAATCTTCTCTGTGTATATCAAGGTTTTAAACCCTAACCTTTTCCCTTTCTGTGTTCTAGGATGTGGCGTTATGTGCAGAGAGATTCCACTAGAACTGGTATTTGTGATTGACAGCTCTGAGAGCGTGGGGATGGAAAATTTTGAGGTGGTTAAGGACTTTGTGAACGCAATTATTGACCAGTTCACTGTGAGCTGGGAAGCCAGCCACGTTGGGCTGGTGCTCTACAGCCATCTGAACACGGTGGTGATCAGCCTGCTGCAACAGCCCAGCAGGGAGGAGATCAAGGCTGCTGTCAGAGCCATGCCCTACCTGGGTGAGGGCACCTTCACTGGCAGTGCCATGCTCCAAGCCAGGAAGCTGTTCAGAGACTCTCGACCCCATGTGAGGAAAGTGGCAGTTGTTTTAACGGATGTTCAGTTAGATCAGCGTGATCTGGTGCAGTTTAAAGAGACAGCCTCAGAATGCCATGCAGAAGGGATTGAGATGTTGATCATAGGTGTGGTGAACAAGACTGTTCCTCTTTATGAAGACTTCCTGAGAGAGATGAAGACTGTCGCCTCTCATCCTAAAGAAGAACATGTCTACATTATTGATGACTTCCTATTGCTGCCTGGTGAGTTAATACACAACAGTTCATTATTATTGTTCTAAAGTGTGTTGACTATTAAGAAGACACAATTTCTGAAGGTCATATCCGAGATTAGTAAGAAGGGTCATGCAAACAACACAATCAAGCGAAAATATCACATACATGCACCAGATTTATTTTGAAGGTTGTGAAATTCAATGAGCTCCTTTGAAAGTTGTTTCTGTGATGCGTCAGGTAGAGGACGTCTGATAGGACAGACATGACTTCAGTCGTTTCCGTTTTCATTGTTGTTGTAAAAGATGGAAAGGCTCAGATTTCAAACAACAGTCCGATTCAGTCAGCACTGCATGTAAATAGGAAGCATCAGTTGTTTTGCAAGATGTTCACAAGAGAATATGTTCCAGTTGTTAAAAACTTTTCATGCAAATCAGTTCTTACTTTGAGTGCAGCTAAGAAAAGTACAGGCAGAAGACCAACAAGACGTACCAGGAGTTTATTTGTGGATTCTGTACTTTGAGCATTTAATGTAGTTATTAAGAATAATTAAGAGCTTTTACATTGAATAGGATGAAAACTACCTTACCAGTAGCATGCATAGTGGTATATTAAAACTACCAAAACTTTGAATGTCTTTCTCACTCAAAGCTCTTTCCTCTTCTTGATCTAAAAACATTCAAGCATTCTTCTCTGGAGGTTTTATTATAGTAACACTGTGTAAACCAAGGATTTGCTTGATGATGCTGTCCTAAATGTCATTCTATTAATAATTTTGTCTTTGTTATCATATGGAATTCACAAGTCTTGTGAATTAAAGACCATAACTGAGAAATAACTAATAATGCGTAATGCTTCAAAGTTTTGTTTTGAATTTAGTAAATGTCCTGAGTGAATTCAGTCAGAATGAGACATTTATGTTCTAAATGAGGAGGACTGGTTCCTGCCCCATCTATTTCATGTTCATGTTGGAGGCTGCTGCCTTCTGGCTTTACATTATAAATTATTGCTTTGTTTTTAGAAGGAATTCTGGCATTATTTAAAACATCGCGTTGTCGTTTATTATTTTTCACGACAGAGTTGTACATCTTTTCACCTTTTCACAAAGTGTTTTCTTTTGATACTTTTTTCCCCCCCATTTCTGACATAGTTCTGGAGAATAATATTCTGAAGCAGATTTGTGATCGAGATGCAGTGGTACCATTTAGACCAAAATCATCGTTTCCATCTGTGGAAACCCATCTGAACGAACCAGAAGACAGCAAGTCTAAAAAGATCCCAGGAGCAAAAAACACAAGGGTAACATTTCTGTCATATTATGTAGTATTATGGTAGACTCCTGTAAAAAGCATTAAGTCACCATTTATGATCATGTATTGTATGATTAAACTATAATTGAATAGAAATCATTATTTGCTATCTAGCTGACATACCCTTCACTCTTACTGAACAGAAAACCAGTCACAGCATGGATGTTCTTTGGGGAAAATTGCAAAATGATTTAAAGCAGGAACAAAAAAACCAAAAAAATATTTGGTGTCTACTTTACTAAATAGACACCGAATATCTTCGGATGTGAATTATTCCACCCAGTGGAAACGATCTCTGCACCACCACAGAGGCTAACATCAATAGTCCTTATCTCCGCTCTTAGGGGTACAGCCAATCAGCACCAAGCAAAATGACTGGGGCTCTTTGATTGGCTGCTCTGCAAGTAACATTGCGGTTAGGTATGTCAGCTTCCCAAGCTGCATTTCCTGTAGAATATTTTTCATGTATGCAAAAATAATTTTCTGAGCTTACTGTGGAGTTCAATTCCACTGAAAAATCCACAAATAAGGGATTCTGCAAATACAGAACTGTGATTAGGTTACTACAACAAATGCATCCTGCGATGGCACTTTTGCTGGATGATGGGTGAAGTCAACACAATACACCAGGTGGTATTGTAATCTGTAAAACTGTAAGCATCACTGTTGGCCTGTTTTCTCCATCATATGGAAATTTGACAGATGATTTAATCCAACAAAGTTACGTTTTACCAAGAAACCCTTCTCTGTTCTTGTCCTACCTGTGTGGCACAAAAGAGAGCAGATGGTGTGTAAAAACAAGAAGAATAGGACTCAGTTAGTGAACCAGAAGGGCCTGTTTGTGACTGTTTCTATTTTATGCATTGGTGAAGTGAAGTGAAGATAGCACTGCAACACGGTGTGTGTGGTTTGACAGTTAAACCACACACACAGGTTCTGGTTGACATGGTGAATCAGAACCTGACTCTTTTGTTCTTTTGCTTATCCGTTTCCCTATAGCCACCTTCCCCACAACCCACTGAATCACTGTGGCCTCATGAGAACCAGTTTGACCCTGAGGTGACAATGGAGCCGTCCAACAAGCAGCCAGATCTACCATTTATCCCTCATGGTGAGAAGGGAGAGCCGGGCCCAGGGCAGAACTCTGTGGTGCAGCGGCAGAGTCCGACCGACTGGCCAGGTGAGGTGAAGGGCTTTCATAGAACCTTTGACCAACCACCACCAACTCCGACCGCGTCACCTGTATCAGGTAAATAGCAGAATCACAACAAACTAGCAGAGGGGTGGGCAATCCTGGTCCTCGAGGGCTGGTGTCCTGCAACTCTTGGATGTCTCCCTGGTCCAACACATCTGCATCCAACAGCTGAATCACCTCCTAAATGCAGACAAGTTCTCCAGAGTCCTGCTAATGACCTCATTATTTGATTCAGGTGTGTTGAAATAGAGATGCATCTGAAAGTTGCAGGAGACCGGCCCTCGAGGACCAGGAGTGCCCACCCCTGCTCTAGCATGTTAAATTCATATGCCTGAAAAGAAACAGAAAAGCTAAAGAGATTTTATGTAAGTTTGAACAGATAGAGCTCTGACACATATGTGGCCACAAAGTTTTATGTTCTTTATACATGGAGGAGTAAATCACTGAAGCTGAAAGAACAGATGTTACATTGGGTTTTCATGAGGATCCAGCTTAATAAGGGTCAATAAAAGGATGTCCTGCCCCAAGTTGAGGAGTTCAAGTATCTCAGGATCTTCTTCACGAATGAGGGAAGAAGGGAGCGGGAGATCGACAGGTGGATATTGGTGCAGCGTTTGCTGTGAAGCAGCGCTGTACCGGTCCGTCATGGTGAAGAGAGAGCTGAGTCAAAAAGCAACGCTCTCGAGTTACCGGTCGATCTACGTTCCTACCCTCATCTATGGTCATGAGCTTCAAGGTTCAACGAGATCGTGAATACAAGCGGCCGAAATGGGTTTCCTCTGTAGGGTGGCTGGGCTCTCCCTCGAGAGAGAAGCTTGGTCATCCGGGAGCGACTCAGGGTAGAGCCGCTGCTCCCCAACATGGAGAGGAGCCAGTTGAGGCTCAGGATGCCTCCTGGACGCCTCCGTGGTGAGGTGTTCCGGGCACGTCCCACTGGGAGGACCCAGGACACGCTGGAGGGACTATGTCTCCCGGCTGGCCTGGGAACGCCTCGGGATTCTCCCGGAGGAGCTGGAGGAAGTGACTGGGAAGAAGGAAGTCTGGGCCTCCCTTCTGAAGCTGCTACCCCCCTGACCCGACCCCGGATAAACAGAAGACCCCGGTAATTTGCATTACCATAATTAACTCTCACTTAATTATGAGAGTTAAGTGAACCTGATTTTGTGCTTAAACTTTGTGTTTAAGCACAAGATTGTATTTTTTTTTCATCAGTCATGGATCTAGCAGGTTAATATGTGTGTATTAACCTGCCACATTGTGGCTGGATGAAGACAGAGTCTGGGACTCGTCCTCTACAGTCTCCAGAGGAGGGGCCATGTTTGGTACCAGCAGCAAGCTTTGGATCTGAGTGAACGTTGCGCTCCTTCCTCATTGGCTCGCTGTACAACTGGTCACAACTTAGCACCAAAATACATTAAAGAGCTGTTGTTACTGATATAGTCCTGGAAAATAATATTCTGAAGCAGATTTGTGATCGAGATGTAACGCCACCATTTTGACCAAATTAAGTTCTTTTCTTCCAGACCTCTCAAGTCTACTCTGCATTCCCAGAACCTGTGGTTCTGATGGTGCAAAATGTAATATTTGTTGTTGTCGTTCTAATTGATGACTGCATTTTTACTGCCATGTTGTTTCATACAACTAGTGCTAGTGGACTAGTGCTTGTGGTTTGCTCAAAGGAACGGGAGTAGATGATTGAATTGCAGACATTATTAATCATTCATTTTTGCCGTTTATTTTCAGGTTTAGAAATCATATTTTTATTATTTTGTTTTGTGATTTTCATTTTTAAAAATCACAAATTATAAAAATGATTTTTGTCACAATGTCACCCTTTTACAAAAATGTTGCAAGTATATTATTTTTTGTCTTACTCAAAGTCCTCCTTGAAGTCATAATGGATGTATTTTTACTTTAAAATCTTTCCTCTGCCTACATCTCCCAGAATACCGTAAGCATGCTACCACACTGGTTTGGGAATTGGCAACTATTGAATTCAATTTATTTAGACCAATGTAGATTTTACCAGTTAATTTGCAAATTAGCTTATGTGTGTATTAACCTGCCACATTGTGATGATGATGATGATGATCCACCTAAACAGTTCCCTTCTTCATCCTCCAGGTGGGGGGTGCAGCCAGCCTCTTGAACCCGGTCCGTGTCGGCAGTACAGGATCAGGTGGTACTACGACCCAGAGGCCAACGCTTGCGCACAGTTCTGGTATGGCGGTTGTCAGGGCAACACAAACAACTTTGAGAATGAAGCTAATTGCAGGAACGCCTGCGTCTACCTGTAAAAGACTGGCGGGATGTTGGGCAACATGAAAGAGCAGTGCCTGAAGCGATATCTGTCATGATCTGACATGTTGCTGCTATCTGAAATCTCTGTTTCCATTGAACTTTCTTTGTTCCTTTCTCTCTGTTGGTTTGAAGAACTGGTTCTTCTAACCTACAGGCTCGTAACACGGCCCAGTGGAAGCCCATTTCCACAACTGTAATGGAAAAAATATAAAAAATCTGAATTATATAATTATAAGATACAAGTAACTACCTTATAGTTATGACTTAGCTATTAATTATGAGAGTTAAGTGAACCTGATTTTGTGCTTAAACTTTGTGTTTAAGCACAAGATTGTATTTTTTTTTTCATCAGTCATGGATCTAGCTTTTGGTTATACACCCTGTAAATTCAGCTTGTTTTGGTCTCAATTTCTACCTGCTATTCAGGCTAACATAAAACTTTGTTCAGGTCCTAAAGCTTCACTAGTTTACCACTAATGGCGCTGAGTTAAGCTGGGCCAGTAAGTTACAAGACATTTCACTGAATTCCACTTATATTTATAAAGCACAAATTCAGGACAAGACATCTCAGGAATATCACACGGAAAGAAAATCTGTTGAATTCTTGTCAAGTTAAACACAAAATAATTCATTTAACCTTCATCTTTATCTGTTTTTGGTCTAGTTCAAGTAGACAATTTTTTATGTAATGCCAGCTTTCAAGACTGTGTAGAACAAAGAAAACCAACATATTAGATCAGATTTACCTAAATTTGACTAAATACAAATGAAATAAGTCCATGCTGACAATAGCAGCTTGGACACAAACATGTTTCCCTGAAAGCTGAAGTCTTTAACATTCTGTCAGTTACAGACATAAACCTTGATCAGCATTTCATGTAACAGACCAACACAAAGTAGCGCATTAGTTAGAAATCTTGATTGCAGTTTGCCACTAGTCATAAAGGCGACAAAGCAAAATTTGTTCTATGGAACCAAAATGCTACATTTGGTGGGAAACTGTGAATCTCAGATTAATTTCCTCTAGAAATTTGACATTCATTGATGCTCTCAAACCAATCTGATTGACAATGAACTTTTTTTAAAAGGTAACATTTTCAGTCTGTAGATGTTCAAAGTAAATCATCCAAGTTTATTTGTACAACATATTTCAGCAGCAAGACAGTTCAAAGTGTTTTACTTCATAAAAACATAAAAAAATCAACAACTGAAACATTTCATGTTTCCAAGTTGGTTCTGAAAGTTTGCTCCACAATGCAAATAATTATATATAATTAGAATTATCCATTGTAATGTGTTGGTCATTTACCTGAAATCCATGAAAAATAATTGTTGTAGTTTAATAAAATGTAAAAACTTTCAAGTGCTGTGAATATTTTTGCAAGTCACTATCTTTACTCAATTCTGTAAAGTTGCTATGCAACAGACAGATAATGAGGTCTCCGTTTCCATAAAATGAAATTACTAAGTACATGACAAATTTATATCATTTATTACACTAATTAAAAAATGTCAAACAGAATAGAGATTATTTTACTTGCCCTTTGAACATGAGTCTCAATGTATACAATTTTAGCGTGCATATAAAATATTTTGTATTTAGGGAATTACAATGTGGGAAATATTTTCGGTCTGTAGCTGGTTTGTTGTAAAAGTGATTATGTATGAGTAATAGTATTTCTACAAAATGTTTACATTATGTTTTATCCATTCTTGTACTTCAGTTTGTCTTCAGTCGGCAGCAGCTTTATGGTGAATGATGCATGAAAAACTCTTCATTGTAAAATGTCTTTTATTGTTTATCCTTATGTTTGTGTCTGAAGGAATAGCTTACACACGAATAAAATAAACCTTTTTTATACAGTGACAATATTGTCTAGATTTTGTTTCTCAATCCAACAAGTGCAACTTTTGGCTTTAACAACCTTTACTCTCTTAAATCTGGAAAAATCAGAAACTCAACCTTACATTCCAGACTTTAAAAACATAACCGTGGCAGTATTATGACATGCCAATAAAAGGCACTTTTCAAACCCGAGACAATTAGAACAGGTTGCCTATGAGAAGTCAGTGACACAAATCATCTGATTCCCTTGAAAGTTCACACATCAAAATATTAAGGCAGGTAGCATCATTTTTGGCCAAGTTTGTTTCATTAGATTTTTTTAATGATTAGGTTGAACCACAGTTCAAAAATATTGTGTGATTTTCATTAGTTAATTTTCAGTCATTTTTATTACGTTTTTCCAACATTTTGAATACAGCAGAAGTTTTTGACACCACTTCTGCTGTAGAAAAAAAATGAAGTAAACAATAAATTTATATGAGACGTGACCGTTCAGAACTGAGAGTCCAGGTGACTTGATCTGTTTTATAGCTACCTTTTCTGGAAGCTATAAAACATTGCTGTGGTAGACAGGATATCTGTCTAATTATTCTGCCACTAATGTTTGACCAAATCACATCTCAGGCTCAGAAAAATGTCCAGATTGTACATCTGGGCAGAAAACTGTCTGCTCTTGTTTTTTGGGTTTTTTTTCTAGCACATTTCAGCAGCAAGGCATTTCAAAGTGCTTTACATCATAAACACAAGAACACAAAGTCATGCATCATGGAATAATAAATACATTGTTACATATTACATTTCAAATACAATTCTAAACAGGTGTGTTTTTAGTTGAGATTTAAAGGAAGTCAGGGTTTCCGCTGTTTTACAGTTTTCTGGAAGTTTGTTCCAAATTTTTGGTCCATAGATGCTGAAAGCTGTTTCTCCTCTTTTGGTTCTGGTTCTGGGGATGCAGAGCAGAACCAGAACCAGAACCTGAGAGTCTGGAAGGTTGATACAACAACAGCAGATCTTTGATGTATTGTGGTGCTAAACCGTTCAGTGATTTATAAACTAACAACAGTATTTTAAAGTCTATTCTTTGAGCTACAGGGAGCCAGTGGAGGGACTGGCTCCCTGTAGCTCACCTTCTGTCTTATGTCTCCTTTACTCTCTTCTCTCTCTTCCCGAATTCCTCTTCTGTGTCATCCCGGTGCTTCTAGTCATCCCTCTTCACACTCATTATCGTGGCTTCTGGACCCTTTTTTTATGAAAAGAGTCCAGAAGCCCCCCATCACAAGCTCTTTCCTCCCCACTCATCCACTTCATCCTACGTCTTGATCCGCTCCCATTCCACTCATCTTCTCATCCTCCTTCATTAGTTTTGTTGTTCGCTTCCACCATTTCATCAGGCCTGAATCTATATGAGTATCCATAGGGTCGCAGATGGTAGGTAAAATATTCCAGCACATACTGCTGAACAGCATAAATGTAGTGAAAAGATACAATAAAATCTGAGCAGCAGTTTGGACCCTGTACAAATAGGGAAATAGAAAAAGAGAAAGACAACATTTAGTAGCTTCCTGAAAAATAGGGGTTTCATGATGTTTCATGCCGTTTTCACTCAAAACATGAAGTGAGAGGTTTAGGATTTAGAAAACAGTCAGAAAATATTATCCAGAGAATGAATGACCTCTGGGAGCAGAGGCTTGTTATGGATTATTATATTTTTATTTAGTTAAGGTTCCACTTATAAAAACATTCATTCAATATATTCATTACTTTAGAGAGCTCTACATCCAATGGAAATACTTGAAAATGTTTGTATCATTTCTTTTCATTTCATTCAGCCTTAGCATCAACACAATGTTCACACACCTTTAACAACCCAAGTAATCTGCACATACGGAGGAATCGACATAAATGAGCCAATGAATTAAGTTGTATCTAATACATAGGAACAGCAGAAGCCATAGGAACTGACATTTTGAAGAAAAGGCACTGCCAAAAAGCTTTAAATGTAAATATAACAACTGAAAACATTGGGTTTATGGAAACAATCGTTCTTTCTTCATTATGAAGAAGTATAAAAATGATGAAGAATCTCATCATGAGATAATGTTGTTGCAGAAAGGGGAAAAGCCTCCAACATATACTCTGTCATAGGCCAAACATGTTTAATCATAATTGTAAAACATTACATCTGGATTTGAAAGGCCAAAGCAGCGTGTTTTATCAGTCCACAGTCTGTAAAATGGGCATTGAACACATTGATATTCTTTTTTCATATTTTCATTGATATACATTTTCACACCAGAGGATGGAAATAACCCAAGACATGAAATCTTGAAAAGAGCTCAAATGTAAATTATGTTACACAGAGAATAAATATCCAAAATAGAAAGAAATAGATGTGAGAAAAAGACAAAGGAAAGCAAGAAAACAGTTGAAATATGTAAGGATTCAGAAAACTTTCCATGTGCTACTTAGATATCAATATCTGTTACTCTAGTATCAACAAAGTGATAGGTGATAACTTTTACATAGATTGATTCTGTTGATAAGAGGAAATAATCTTACAGTTTCACAACAGAAACAGTAACAGAAGCATTACTAAACTTCTGAATCTTCCAGTCAGTGCCATAAGATGGATAATATAGAAATATTTATAATTTCATCATAAACCACATTTCTGAGACAGGACTTCATCAAAAATCAAATGAAGACCTATTTAGTTTTCTTTGCCATTGTTTTTACATTGCATAGGAGGTTTAGGTTTATCATAAAATGTCTGGCCAGAGACTGAAATGAAACAGGGTGGAGCTTGGAGCTCCAAACTCAGAGCATAGAAGTTGCTTCAGAAGCTGCTTTGTGTGAAGAATTTGCTAAAATCCCAGCTGAGCCATGATCGTCTCTCATTTCTCAGCAGACGGGACCAACTGGGACTTTCTATAAGTATTTAATCAATTTTTGTAATGCGATTGTGTTCAGTACTTATCACTGTACTGTTGCACTTTCTTGCACATACATTCACATATGGACCAATTTTTTCTTGATTAGTTTGTTATGTGTGGATTACCTGGGTTGTTATTTACCATTAGAAATATATTTAGTGTGTTATTTCCCCCAGTTGAAACCAGTTTATGATTTCCATTATACTGTCAGAAAAAATACAGGCTTTCCTACAAACCAGCGGTTTGTGTTCCTTACCTCATTTGGAACATAGTAGTCGTAGATCATATGCCACGGCCGAGGTCTTGGTAGTTGTCGTATGACGTAGTGGTCTAGAGGAAAAGCGTGGAATGTTTGCCTGCCCTTCACGTCCCTGGTGTCCACTGGCTCCACCTTCATCGTCTCCATACATTTTCCCAGAGCCATGTCTTCTATTGTGGAGAAGTGCGTACACTGTCCTGTTTCAAACCCTTTGATGAATCTCCTCAGTGCTTCTTTGCTCAGGACGTAACCTGCTCCTCCACTCATGTAGCCTTGGCTGATGAAAGGCTTAAACCTTCGACCAAGGTACAATGGTTTTTCGGGGTCAAGCTTGGATAAGATGTACTGCAGGTTCTCTATGACCACAAATGTATCATCATCTGCTTTCAGGAACCAGTTGGCTTTGTCCTCATGGTGCTGGTGGATGTACTGGAGTGCTCTGATGGTCTTCCAGTACAGGTTTTCCCTCCCTTCACTGACATTCAGCTCCACAGTTGGGAAGTCTGTCTTCACTGAACTCATGTACAGAATGTGGTGGCAATGCTTGCCCCATGTTTGCCTGACATGTTTGGTCCGTGATTCCAGATTCCTGGGTCCCGTCATAATCCAACACAAGATCCGTGGAGAGTTAGGGTGATTCTCTACAGAGCTGTTCTTCTGACTTGCCTCTAAAAATTCAAAGTAATAGAAATATTTTTGTAAGATGAAGTGGAACAGTGCTGAGTCACATCCATAAAGCCATCGATCAACAAAATATCAAATTTGTTCAAAGATTTAATTAAGTAAAAACAATGAACTGAGATCTCAGTCAAAATACTACAAGTTCAAACTTTTGTATTATGTTTACAGCTTATTTTTCTCAACTTGAGGATCAAACCCACTTGTCTTCACGGGGACTTTGAAATGGAAGTTTTATTAAAATAATCTTATTTGCTGAAGTAGTGGATGAAGTTGTTTAGCCTGTTAGGAAATGAACCTAACAGACTAAACAAGTGAAGCATAATTAAACTAGAGTAACTAAAAATGACTAGATGGAAGAAACTCATATAAATTGCTATCACTATGAAGGGACTGAAATAAAGAAAAACAGGAACAAAATTATCAAAATAAGAAACTAATACAAAATAATAATTAAACTAGAGTCAAATCAAACTACAAAACATCCTGAGATCCTGACACTATCACTGTAGTATCACTGCCCTCCTACTACAATAGTAGTACATGGTGCACTACTATTGTAATCAATCAATCAATCAATCAAATTTTATTTGTATAGCACATTTCAGCAGCAAGGCATTTCAAAGTGCTTTACATCATAAACACAAAAACACAAAGTCACGCACCATGTATGAAACTGTCTTTAACAAAAGCTAATGTCAGCTGGCTTGAATGTGTAATTCAAAGTGTGACTGCAGTCCACATCTGACTGGCATGCGGCTGCACAGCTGCGGCTGCACGGCTGCGGCTGCACTGACTGCAACATGTTAGTGACCAGCAGTGGTGGGTCCTGCACTGACGAACTGCATCTAGTAGCTGCAGCAACCAAAATAAAAGAAATTATGTTGGGCTTTCTTCAAGGTAAAAGAAAACGTAATTTATTGTTGTTCTTATTTCTATCTTCCACTTATTTGGGTTTGTGTTGCAGGATAGGGATGAGACATCAATGAATGGGTTTGCGCTGAATGATAACTGAAGTTTCAGTTAGTCATTCTTTTTTTTTTCAAAAATGTATTTATGCTTTAAACATGAGGTACAATGTAAAGGCAATGCAATGCTTATATAGTTAACAGTGTACCTTTAACATACAAACATAATGGGACTAGAACAAACTCAATTCTACCTACATATACATACCTACATGAAATGCATTAAATGGGTCAAATCAGAGTAAACATACTGTGCTAATGGACAGAAACATATACATGAAAAAATAAATAAAATAAAAAGCACAGGACCAAATATATGTACATTTCTTTCCCTCAACCCATACAAACACACTCAAAACAAGAAATAAATAAATAAATTCAGGTGCCAGGGGATACTTCTGTCAATATATCAGTCAAACTAAAGAGAGAAGATGAAAGAAAAAAGATATTGATAAGAATAAGAAATAACAGCTTCATCAGTCTGGAACATTAGGGAAGTTAATCTTTCTGAGGGTTCTTAACAAGGGGCTCCACAAACCCAAAAATCTCATAGAAGAGCCTCTTAAAGTAAAATGGATTTTCTCAAGTTTTATGAAATACAGTGTACCTCGAAGCCAATGAATATATGATGGAGGTTGAGGCGACTTCCATTTTATTAGAATTATTCTCTGTGCCAAAGCAGTTGGCACAAAGCCAAGAATGATTTCTGAAAGGAGGACAGGGTGGACTGTGGAGGTGCAACTCCAAACAAAGCAGTCAAGGGGTCACGCTCCAATTTCTTGTCAAAAATGTCTGACAGAATAGCAAAAACTTTGGACCAATAGTTAGAAAGCTGAGGACAAAGCCAGATAGTGTGGATCAGATTGGCTGGAGAATCCTGGCGTCTATCAGAGGCAGGAGAAACATTGGTGTAAAATTTGGCCAGAAGTACTTTAGTATAATAAGTGCGATATACAAGTTGGCATTGATTAGATCCTGTCTGCCACAAATAGAGGACTTATGCACTTATGACAGGATTTGTGTCCAAAGATCCTCTGAAATGGCCTGTCCAAGGTCTTCCTCCCAATGTCATCGAAAGGAATTCAGGGTTTGTGGGCGTCAAAGTGTGATTTGATTGTAAATAAAAGATATGGCCCCTTTCAATTTGACAGTAGGTTTTAGAAAAATGTCAAAGGGTGAATCCCTGGGAAGGTTGGAAAAATTCAAATAGGTAGAGCAGACAAAGCTGCGCACTTGCAAATATCTAAAAAATGGATAGATATCAGACTTCTCAGATATACATATCGTGAAAAGCTGAAATTCCTATTCTCCACCGTCTCACAGAGAGACGGCAGAAAGCTATGATTTGAATCTATAGGAGCATGGACAGAAAGAGATTGCAAGCCAAAATGCCGTCTAAATTGCATCCATAGCCTTAAGGATGCATCAACTATGATATTAGAAGTAGAAGGTTTAATTGGGGGCTGTAATGGTGGATGCCGTAAGGCTGCCAAGGACACAAGTTTACAGAGTTGGCCTCCATAACAAGCCAAGCTGGAGAAGAAGAAGAGCCATCTGACTGGAGCCACTATCTGAAAAATCTAATATTTGAAGCCCAGTAGTAATATCTAAAGTTTGGCAAGTTTTGTAAGAATTGGGTAGTTATACGAGGGGCCTTCCCATTCCAGAGAAACAGTCTGTTATTCCTTATAACTTTACAACTTTGCTTGCTTGTAATACTCTTCACACACGTCACACACATAATGTGTGTGAAGAGCGCATTCACACGTCAATAACTATTTTTTTTATTACAGATAAAATTCTATTTATTTAATTTGCAAATAAATACAATATTAAGGTATTAATACTTTATGAAAACATAAAACCAGCTTTGGGGAATCCAAAGGTGTTTCCACACCAGTGTGTGTTTCAGCATGGCTTAATTTCACTAAAGTTCAACATCCACAGAGGACTGACCAGAAAAACCAGTCATAAGCTCTGTTTTTTCTGCACATCTTCTGTGTCATCTCTGTTGACACAGTGCAGATGAGTGAGTATAATGCAAAGTACAATACAGGACTAGCCTTTGTTAACACTCGTGGACTGCTCATCAAGTTTGGGGATGTGTCTCACTCAGTCTTGGTTCCGGAAGAACCAGTTCAACCCCGCTCACCAGCGTTCCGCCCAGCAGAGAGAGAAAACTGTTTCCTAATAGAATATCTTACATCCTGGAGTGGTGGAGTGTTTTCTGTCTGCATGTATGTTTCCTTCTCAGTTTCAGTCTCATCTTTTCAGTAAGTTTAAATCAATATCTAGCATGAGTCAAATTACTGTTGTTTCACATTTTCTCCAGTTATTAACATCGGCCTTCATTTTACAGTTCGTACATAATTCTGCTGAATCTTTGGTACCTTTTTGTATGATGAGCTCAGTCTGATTCTTCTTAACCCGTCTTCAAACTACGACTCAACCAAAAAGTTGAAGAAGTGTTAAACCACAGTGTGAATGTAGCTATCTCAGCTTCACTCACAGTCATCAAACCTCATCAAAGGTTTTCCCTCATCAAACAGCCACAGGGATCAGGGGCACACAGGTTTAGACTCTGTTTTAATGTGTGCAACTTAAGAGTCGCCTATTTTTAAAAAAATTATGTTCATCTAGTTCACACTTGCTAAACCAAGTCTGTGAGAAATGCCTAAGGATTCGCATGACAAAATGAATCATTTGCTCAGCACCAGGAAATGCAAGAAGAAAGTCAACATGTTTCTTCAATTACTTTGAAGAAACATATTTTCTTCAAAATAAATATCAGCACTTCACATAATGCAGACGTGCTCAGCTCATCTGCATTATGTTCTCCACACTATAATAATCCATTTGTGACATGAATTGGAACATTTTTTTTTTTTGTGGCTCTAGTGGCCTGTATTTTTTGAAAGTAGGCTGACAGGACATAGGACAAGGAGAGGGGGGAAGACATTACAATTCTCTCCTCTCTTTATTTCTGCCAGGGAAACTCGTTGAGGGTGGATTCACTTAACATGGAGAATGTTACAAGCAAAGAACTAGAATCTTTACCCATTCTGATATGGATTTAAAACCTCATTGTTGAAATGTACCTCTACTGGAGAGAACCTACTCCACCATGTAAATGCTCCCTAATCAAAGTAACAAGAATAAATGAGATCACTTTGAAGTGCATTCATGCTATGAATATGAATGTTTCCAGAAATGTCTATCAGTTTATTAAACTGCTTATCTACCCAACCTGCACAGCAGGTTTTTTAGCATCATTGAGTGCGGGTAAATGTTTTTATGGTTTCTTAAAATAGCCATAATAAAAATGTAAAAAACTTAAAGTCCTTTAACTTGTATGTCAACTTATTTTTAAACGTGTTGTTCCTTTGTAAAAGTGATGATGACTATAAGATTTGGGTTTTATTTGAGCCAATACAATTATAATATTTTATTGTCAGACGGCACCATCTACACTTGTTTCCACTAAATAGAAAAATAGCTAAAATGACAACCATATGAAATCCTTAAAAGACGTTTCATTTCTACTTTCACAGTTAAAAACACAAACCAAGAATGCCAATGCATACATTCTGATAATTACTCTGGTCATTTTAAGCTCACATTTTATAAGGTAGGCTTACCAAATAAAAACATACCTTTGTGTATGTCATAAGCATGAAGTAGATTTTTTTCATTCCTCACAGAGTCTGAGACCGGATCTTTTGAATATATGGAGGTCAGCAACAAGCGAAGAGAAAAATATCCAAAAATCAATCCAATGGTGAACATCACACTTTTAGGCCTCATTCTTCAAAAATCTAATAAAATAAAATAAAATAAATAAAGACCTGTGAAAAAGATATGTATTCTTAAAGGAGTTACCTAAAATATTAAGTTTTCAATAATCTGATTATCAATCAAGGTAAAACTCACTACATCTGAAGACAAATAAATAAATAAAGATTTCACATAAATGAACGGGTGAATT